GCGGTGCATGGGGCAACCAGGGGCAGCCAGGCGGGCAGCCGAGGCGTGGCTGGCAGCGGCGCCCTGTGTGCGGCGCCCTGTGTGCAGCCAGCCGGCCGGCCAGCATCCTGCGCAGCTCACCCTGCCCGGCCGGCACGAGCCCGCCCCGTTCGAACAGCAGGTTGAGGGCCAGCTGGTCGTCAACGTGGCTGTCTGAGTCCTCGTGCTTGGCCTGGGCCGGGTCGGTCAGCATCTTGATCCAGGCCTTGAGGAAAGCGCGGGAGGCGGGGGTGTTGGAGACAGCAAACATGCCGGTGTTGAAAGCCGCGGCGCTGCGGGGCGGGGCAGAAGGAGGCAGGCGGGATGTGCGTCAGGGGGAGAGAGCACAAGCCGTGTGTGTGGTCGTGGAACTAGAAAGGAGGAGGCGAGCTGTGAGGTGGCAGCGCGGGCCCGGGTCGGCAGGCAAGTACACAGGGGGCGGCGCAGCTTCAGGCTTTGAAGGCACGCCAGCTGGCAGGCCGGGGAGGCGGCGGCGGCGGCACGGCCCCGCTCACTGAGAGTTGCCGGGCACGTGCCCGCAGAGTGGGTAGCTGCGGTCGGTCGGCTGCCATGCATCCTCCGCCTGCACCACGCAGCCACGGAATGCAGGTTGGGCAGGGCCAGGCGTCGGGCGGCGGAATAAGGCAGCCAAGCACGCCGGCCCTGGCGGCGGCAGCAGCAGCGGCAGCCTCAGCCCCGTCACCAGCGGCAAACCCAAGCCTGGCTGCCAACAGCCCAGGCGCGCAGCGTTCCGGCTTGCACACACCAACACACAACAACCACACACACATACACACACGCACTCTCTGTGGGTGGGCTGCCTGTGGGACAACCCACGCACCTTGGCGCTGAGGCAGTCTGTGGACACAAAGAAGTCCACCCCTTGCCTCTGCTCCAGGTATTGCCAGGGCGGGCGCAGCCACACGCAGTCGCTGTCGCTCACCACCACCAGCTCCAGCGTCGGGTGCTGCTCCAGCAAGCCCAGCACAAACTGGATCTGCGGGAGGAGGGAGAGCAGGAGGCTGGGGGCGGAGATGTGGCGCGCGGCGCGCTGCCGTGCCGCCGGCCACTGCCATCCGCTCTTGGCTCCTGTCATTTTGCGCCACGGTGGCGGGCCTCCTACCCGCGGACCACAGTCAGCCTAGTGGCTGTTGAACCGGGGTGCCGCCTCCCTTGCGGGCTTGGCAGCCCGCGCCGCGCAGCCCAGCCCACCTTGATCGCGCCCATCTGCCGGAAGGCCGCCACATTGTCCCGGAAGTCTCCGGCAGCGGTGCCGGCGTGGGCGGCCACGCAGGGCAGGCCCTGCGCCTCGCACTGGCCCAGCATCTGGTCGTCCAGGGCTGCAGCAAAACCAGGGAGTGGGCGGCGGCAGAGCGGGGGCGTGTGTGGCGGTGGTGGGTCATGGTAGTGTGTGGTTCGTTGTTGTTGCTGTTATTGGTGGTGGTGATGGTGGTGGTGGTGGTGGACATGCCATGCTGCCTGTACTGCATGTACTGCATGTACCTGCGATGAGGAAGGACCGCTCGAAGGGCATCACGCTCCTCGCCCAGTTCTGGACGAAATCAAAGTAAGCGGAGTTGCCGAAGCCGACCATCAGCCTCGCGGTGTGGTTGAGGTCGGGCGGCCGCAGCCTGGGCGGCAGCGGCGGCGCCGGCGGCGCCCGCCGCGCCAGGTGCAGCCAGCTGGCCAGCCGTTGGATGGATGCGGGCTGCTGACCCGACGCCTGTGCAGACCCATCCTGGCCGGGGAGCTGGCCGGGGAAGAGGCGGCTGGAAGCCTCCAGATGCGCTTCGCTGCGGCAGGCGGCAGCATCAGGCGAGGCGAGAATGCATCAGCCCAGCCCCCGGGCCAGCATCCGAGCCAACCGGATGGTTGGCCGGAACAAAGGCGCCGGCGTAGCGCCGCCAACGAGAACAGGTGGCCGCCTGGCAGCCCACCTGTGCTTCTGGTGTGCCGTAAAGAGCATCACCGTCACGGCGAACCCCGCCACAAAGCCTGCGGCGGCGGTGCTGATGCGGTAGGGCGCCTTGCTGCCCTTCAGCCCCATCCTGCCTGGCGCTGCTGCCGCCGCCGCCGCCGCTGGGAGGGCTGCCGGCGCGGCCGCCGCAGGTCGGCTGCAGTGCTGCGGCGCTGCTGCTGCTTTCCGTGCGCAATCTCAATTCCGATGCAGCCAGAAGGACGGCGAGCGGCTGCGCTGCCGAGCGAGCTCGACCAAAACAATTTGCCGATGGCTCTGCTCGCGTGATCGGCTCACGTATTCAGCTGATTGTGTGGAGAAGTTAGAATATCAGCGAACAGCGCGCTAGGCTATCGAGCATACGGGGGTCCCTCCCTCGGATGGCAGACCTGGGCACAGGCAGGCGGCAACAAGTGGTTTGATCGGGGTTGAGATGGCAGATCGGTTGCTGCAGCGATGCAGCCTGATGAGGTGGCGCGCATGTGGCGCCTCGCAGGCGTATGCGGGGCCCTCGGCTCCCAGACCTCACTGGCAGCCGTGCAATGTCCACATGCAGCTGGCACACGGGTAATACCCCCAACAAATTCCTGGAATGCATGCCAGCAAGCAGATTGGGCGGTTCACGTGCCGTTGGCGGCGCCTCAGCGGCCCCAGCGGCGGCGGCTGGATTCTCTGCAAAGTTGCAGTCACGGCGGGCTACTTTAATCATTATAATTTCCGCTTCTACTATCTTTGTCGTCAGAGGCACCAAGCAACCTCCTTTACAGAGCTCAAGAGTGGGCGGGAGGGATGGCGGAGCCTGGTGGGGCAGGCAAGTTTTGGAACATCGCTGGTAGTAGTTCGGTTTAAATCGAATGCCTCTCTGCTGCTCCCGACCACCTTGCTGAGCCTGATCACATCCGGCTTGCAAGAGGGGTCCTGTATTCACACCAAAGAGCAACCGATCATGGCTCTGGGACTACGGACAGCACTTCAGGGCCCACTCCTGCCGCCGCTGGCACCAGTTGCCAAGCTCTATGCGCTTGCCGCCGCCGCTGCCTCCAACCCGCAGGCCGCTCCTTCCCCGCCTTCCCCTACCCGCCCTACAGCATCCAGCTGGACTTCATGGATGCCCTGTATTCAGCGCTGGAGCAGGGCGGGGTGGGCCTGTTCGAGAGCCCTACAGGTGGGCTGTGGCACGAGGAGCGGATGGCTGGCTGGGCTCCCGCCGCCAGTCGTTGAGGTTCTGCCACCACTGCTAGGCCACCTGGCTGCGGCTGCCACCCCTTCTCCTCGATGACGCAGGCACCGGCAAGACGCTCAGCCTGATCTGCAGCAGCCTGCAGTGGCTGCAAGACCAGCGGCGACGCGAGGCGGCGGCGGCGGCGGCGGCGGCGGCCAAGGGCACGCACGGCAGCCCGGGGCGAGCAGGAGGAGGCAGCAAGGGTCCAGAGACCGGTGATGCTGGCGAGGAGGAGGGCGACGATGCCCCTGACTGGATGCGCGACTTTGGGCAGCAGCAGGAGCGGGAGCGGCAGCGCGTGCTGCAGGACCGCCAGCGGCGGCGCATCGCACAGGCCAAGGCGCAGCTGCTGGGAGGGAAGAAAGCAGGGCGCCGTGGCGGCGCCCGGGGCGCGGGGGCAGCTTCGGCAGCTGCTTCGGATGATCCCGAGGCCGAGTTTCTGGTGGAAGAGTGGCAGTCTGATGGGGAGGACTCTGCGGCAGGCGGCGGCGGCGGCAAGAAGCGCAGCCCAGGCACCGCTGGCCTGGGCCTCGGCATCAGCAGCGGCAGCGAGGGCGGCAGCGACGGCGAGGGCCTGCTGGGGGAGGTGGAGGATGTGGAGGTGCCCCGCAAGCGGCAGGCGAGTGCCGGCTGCCGTTTGTGCTCGCCTGTCCCATGCGTGCCCGCCTGCCTGGGCCAGCTCCACCCATGTTGCTGTTGCTGTTGCTGCTGGTTTTGCTGCTCCGCCCACACGCCGCGCCCTGCCCTGCTCTGCCTGCCCTGCCCTGCGCCATCCCCTGCCTGCAGATCATCTTTGCCAGCCGCACCCACTCCCAGCTCAGCCAGTTTGTGGGAGAGCTGCACCGCACCGCCTTCGCCGGGGAGATGTCGCTGGTGGCGCTGGGCTCGCGCAAGGTACCGGGCAAGGCTCTGGCTGGCACCTTGAAAGCAACGACTGCAGCAGCAACTCACTCCGCTCGGCACAGCGCTGCGCCGCACATCGCAGCCCCCAGCCCGCCCATCCCTGCCCGTGCTGTCTCCTCTTCCCCCCCATGCGCACAAGCACGCGCCGCCATCCCACATTGTGCAGGCCCTTTGCATCAACGATGCCGTGCTGTGGCTGCAGTCCGCCTCGCTCATCAACGAACGCTGCCTGGAGCTGCAGAAGGCCGGCGGCGGCGCCAGCGGCGGCAGCAAGAAGGCAGCTGTGGCAGGGCCGGCGGGCGTGGGCGGCGCCGACGCCGTGGGCCCCGCCCAGCGCCGCGCCAAGCCAGGCGCCGGTGGCAGCGGGCGGTGCCCCTTCCTGGCCAGCGGCACGGCGGCGGCGGCCACCACCCGAGACATGATCCTGGCTCAGCCCATTGACATTGAGGAGCTTGCCAAGCTGGGTGAGCTGCGCTGGGAGGAAAGGAGAACCTGGGAGGCAAGGGTTCACAAAAAGACGCCGTGCCGAGAGCGGGGCGGAGCATGGCAGCACGGCAGTAGCACGGGCGAGCAGCAGACGCGCCCATGTGTTGCGTGCCGCCCTCGCCGATCTGCCTGCTGCCGCTCGCCACCGATGTGCGCCCCCCACCCCCACCCCACCCCCACCCGCTTTGCCGCCTTCCTGCAGGCCGCCGCAAGTCTGTATGCCCATACTACTCTGCGCGGCGGGCGGCGGCGGAGGCGGACATCGTGCTGGCGCCCTACAGCTGCCTGCTGGTGCGGGAGACGCGGGAGGCGTTGGGGCTGCGCCTGGAGGGCAACGTGGTGATCGTGGATGAGGGGCACAACCTGGGTGGGCTTGGGTTGGGTGGGCTGATGTGGTGGCGGCGGCGGTGGTGGTGGTGGTTATTTTTGGCAGGTTGGCCTTTGGCGGGGTGGTTATGGCATGTGTGCATGCGCATGGAGGGGGCGTGTGGGCCGGATGGCTGTGTGCCAGCAGAGCAGCGGGGTCGAGGGGCAGGTGCAAGGCAGGGAGGCAAGGCAACGGGCTGCAGAGGATGTGGCCCGTCGGCGCAGAGCTGTTTCCCTTGCGTAGGCATATGAATGCATTGCACTTCCATCGCATGCTCCCCTGCTCCCTCCACAGTAGGCGTATGATCGCACTTTCAAACCTTGCTCCCCTGCCCCCCCCACACGCCGTGCCATGCTGTTCCGCAGTGGACGCCATCAACTCAAGCCATTCTGCTGAGCTGGCGGCGGGCGCGGCGGCGACAGCTCAGCGCCAGCTGGCAGCCTACTTCCAGCGCTTCCAGTCCCGCCTGGCGCCCGCCAACTGCCGCCACATCCAGACGCTGGCGCGGGTGGCGCAGGTGGGATGGGCCCGCTGCCAGGGCGGAGTGCTAGGCTCGCTTCTGCTGGCGACAGCGCTGGAGCAGCACAGTTCCAGTTACCGAGCGGCTGCATTTGCTACTGGTGCTGCTCCCTCCGCAGGTGCTGAGCCGGGCCGCCAGCGGCGCGATGCAGCTGGCGCCGGCGTGCGGCGGCGGTACCGGCGCGGGGCCCGCGGCAGGTGGTACCGGCACGGTACTGACCGTCAACGACTTCCTGCTTCGCACCGGCCTGGACAACCTGAACCTCTTCAAGCTGGTCAGGTGGGCTGGCTTGGCTGAGAGAGCAGAGGGGCCACGGGGGTGCCGGCGAAGCAGAGGACAGCGGGAATTGAGCAGGACGAGCAGGCTGGAGCAGCGCAGGAGCAGGCAGAAGCAGGGGGTCGTAGCTTTGTCCTGTTGTGATCACCAAGGACCCCCGCTCCTGGCTTCCCTTCTCTCCCCGCGCTGCTGCAGCTACGTGCGGGAGAGCAAGGCGGTCTTCAAGATTGCAGGCTACTGGCAGGCGCAGCAGAAGCGGGAGGCGGCGGCCGCGGCCGGGGCCGCCACCGGAACCGCAACAGCAGCAGCGGCAGCTAGAGCTGGCAGCCAGGCGTCGGCGGCCGCGGCGGCTGCGCCGCCCGCAGAGGCAGCTGCTGGCACCGGGGCGCTGCATGCGTTGCTCGGCTTCCTGCAGGCTCTCACCAATGCCGATGCTGATGGGCGAATCGTGGTGCAGCCACCAGCCCAGGCGCCACAGCAGCCGCACGGCGGCGGTGGCAGGAGCACAGCCCATGGCAGCAGCGGTGGAGCAGCAGCGGCGGCGGCAGCAGCAGCAGGAGGAGGAGCAGGGGCAGGGGGAGCAGGGGAGGGCCTTCTGAAGTTCGTGCTGCTGAATGCGGCGGCGCACTTTGGGCGCGTCGTGTCTGCTGCGCACGCTGTGGTCCTCGCCTCTGGCACCCTGTCCCCCCTCGAGTCTGTGCTGCACCTCTTCCCGGGGGTTCCGCCCGAGCGCCTGCACCGCTTTGCCTGCGGGCACGTGGTGGGCAAGGAGAGGTGAGGGGGCGCATCGGGGCTGGTGGGCGGCCGGGCACACGCAGGCACGGCAGGGGTGTGTCCCTTTCTGTGTCTGCAGTGCGCTGTGGTGGCAGGCGCAGCGGGCAGACGGTCCGCTGCCCGCCGCCCGCCTGCCTCCCGCCCCTGGCGAAGCCCCGCCCTGGCCACCACTGCCGCCGCCGCAGGCTGCTGGCGCTGGCGGTGGGCGTGGGACCCTCAGGGGCGCCGCTTGACTTCCGCAACGCCTCTCGAGGCGCCGCCGCCACGCTGGACGAGCTGGGGCGCCTGGTGCTCAACGCCTGCCAGGTGGTGCCGGGCGGGGTGGTGCTCTTCTTCCCTTCCTTCTCCTATGCTGACCAAGTGCATGCCAGGTGGGACTGGTGGGACTGGCGGGGCGAGGCAGAAGGATGGCGGGATGGCCAGGCTTGAGTGGCGCGGCTTGGGTTTTGCGGGGGTGGCTGTCTGCCTGCCTGCCTGGCTTGCTGCTCTTGCTCCTTGCTGACCCGCAATGAGTGCCCCCCCTATCCCCCAGGTGGCAGCACAGCGGGCTGCTGCGCCAGCTGGCGGCACGCAAGCGCGTCTTCCGGGAGCCCCGCACAGCTGGCGAGGTGGAGGCGTGCCTGCAGCAGTACGCAGACTGTATCGCCGCCGCCGCTGCTGCCGGCGGCGGCGGCAGTGGCGGCGGCGGGGTGACCGGGGCGGTCATGCTGTGTGTGGTGGGCGGCAAGCTGGCTGAGGGCATCAACTTTGGGGATGCGCTGGGCAGGTGGGCGGGGCGAGCGCGGGATGGATGCCAGCGGGAGAGGAGCGGTGGGGCAGGCTGCCTGCCACGCCGCAGCAGCAGGTGTAGATGTACGGATTTTGTGTGTGCATCAGCAGGTACGCCTGCCTGTTGTGCCACCATCCTGTGCCACCATGTACCGCCGACCTCGTGACCGCTGTGTACCGCAGGTGCGTCATCATGGTGGGCCTCCCCTACCCCAACCCATCCGACCCAGAGCTGCAAGAGCGCATGCGCTTCATGGACCGAGCCGCCGCGGCCGCCGCCGCCGCTGCTGCTGCTGCTCCAGCGCGCCCGGCGGCAGCAGCTGGCGCACGGCGAGGGCCTGGAGCGGCGGCGCCCAGCCAGCCTCTCCGGCGGCAGCAGCAGCAGCAGCAGGTGCAGGGGCAGCAGGGGCACCAGCACCAGCAGCTGGGGGCGTGTGAGGACGGGCGGGCCTATTACTCAAACCTGTGCATGAAGGCCGTCAACCAGTGCATCGGCCGCGTGATACGCCACCGAGGCGACTGGGCCGCCGTGCTGCTGGTTGATGCCAGGTGGGGGCCCTGCAAATGCCTGTACTGTGGTGTGGAAGTGTTTCTGCTGGCGCGGTGTTGCGGGTGTGGTTGTTTTTTCGCACGGCGCGGCCGCGGCGACCCGACAGCCTCCTTCCCTGCATCACCCACCTCCCGCCTGCGATGCACCGTGCTGTGCGCCCGCAGGTGGGCTGCGGCGGCGGATGCATGCGGCCAGCCTAGCCCGCTGGCCAAGCTGCCGAGCTGGATCCAGCAGTCGGCGCAGGTCAGCCGCAGCTTTGGCGATGCGTTTGGCCGCCTGGCGCGGTTCAGCAAGGCCATGGCGGCGGCCGGCTAGGCCCTAGCCACACATTGCTTGCACCACACTTTACCCATCCTTGCCCCGCTTTGTTGCTGCCTGCTGCTCCTGCCTCATTCTGTGTTGTTTCTCGTTTGCGCTGTCGGACTGCTCTGCTTTGCTTCATCTCATGGATTGTGTCGAAAGTAAAAGTAAACACGAAATGGCTGCAGAGCAGGGCCTAAGCCTTGTACCTGCGTCTGTACTGCAAAGGTGCCTCCAGCTATCCCTTCCCTCATCTGCCCACCCTCGTATTACATGCGCTTGGCTGTGTCAACACACACATCGCTTGCCTTGAAAAACGAGACCCTGCAGCCATGGGTTTGGGTTCTCTGCTCGTGCTGCTGCCCCTCCTCTTCCCAGGTAGGCAGACGCTGGGCCACATCCCCACCGTAGGCCACCCGGCAATGTCACAGATGCGGCAACGCTCACGCGATACTCTCGCGTGTGTTTCGGTGACACCCGCCCCCGTCCTCCTGCTCCAGAGCTTTTGTGCGCACCCGAGACCCTCCCAAGGGCTCCATGCATGCTGCAGGGGCGGCTGCCGCTCGCCATCTGAGCCAGGGGCCCGTCACCGACGGGCAGCCCGCCTGCCGTACCGTCGCTGAGTGGGCGGCAGCTACCGGGCACACCTACTTTGCTGAATCGGTGCAGGTGGGTCCACCTCCCCTGCAGCGTGCTGATGGGGCTTGGTGAGAAGGGCGCAGGGGTCGGCACCTTCAGCGGCTTGGTGGTGGGGTGCACGGTCCCACCTCCGCCGCCGCAGCCGCCCGTGGTGGCTGTCGCCTGCCCCCTGCAGACCTTTGCCCCGGAGCTGTACGATGATGCCTTCTCTGACCCAGCCTGGGTAGGCACCATATTTTCCCTCACAAGTGCGCTGCGCTGCCGCATGCGAGGCTGCCTTGGCGCCCCGCCGGGCCCAGCCCGAGCGCCGCTGCCGCTCACGCGCCTGCCTGCCCGTGCATTCACGCCGCCACCTTGGCGGCATCGACCCCGCACCCCGCTGCTGCCGCCGCCACTGCAGACGCCGTCCTGGATATGTCTGGGCAGCTGGATGACCTGGGGGACTTCCGGGGCGTGATGGGGCGCGCCGCCAACGACAGCGCCTATTTCGACGGCATGCGCCAGGTCGGCATGTGCTCCAGATGCCGCCCACGACCCTAAAACACCAGAGAGGCGGGGGCTGCCCTGCCCCTCTGCCCCCGCCTCTGCCACTGCCAAGGTGCGCTACGGCTCTGAACGTGCATCCCCGCCCTTGCATCCCCTGCGCTGCTCTGCCGCAGATCATCCTGTACCACATCCACCCCGATGAGGCGCTGACCGAAGCCGAGCTCGTGTACACGGCGGCTCGCGGCGGCAACCTCACCACCGCCCTGCCGGGGCACGACCTGGGGGTGAGCTCCGCCAGCGGTGTCGAACAGGCTGCTCAGCCAAGATAGGCTGGGCGCGCCTGCAAGCTGCATGCCGGGCTTTGTGCGCGGCTGCCGACGCTGCCGTCCCAGGCGCCGTCGCCGCAACCCACATGTGGTGTGCACGTCCGCGACTGCTGCAGTTGGAGCCCCTGGTGGGCCCACAGGGCACCACCCTGCTGCTGGTGCCCGAGGATCCGGTCCTGACAAACCTGATTGGGAAGCCCCGGGTAAGGCGCCGACGCAGCCTGCCCAGCCTCGGCGTTGCTGCAGCCGGGGCTGCTGCTGCTGGGCCTGCGTGTGTGTGGATGGCTGGGTGGGGCGTGCACTGGTGGGGGCGCTTCGTCAGGCAGGAGGCCCACGGTGGCTGGCCTGCACGGTGCAGGTAGTCAAGCCTGACGTCACCGCTGGCCAGGCCATCGTGCATGAGCTGGACATGGTGAGCCCTGCAGGCCGTCAGCTGTAGCAGGCTGCCCAGCTGTGGCTGGTGGGGCCATGCGCAACATGCATGTGCACCGCCAACCTCAAACGCGTGCAGGTGCTGCTGCCCGTCCTAGAGTAGCCTGCTGCGGGTGCATGTGGCGGCGGGGAGCTGCTCCTGGCAAAGCGCGTTGCTGCATGGTGCTATGCATTGAGCTGGAGGAGGCTGGCATGGTGGTGAGGTCGAGTGAGAAGCCTGGTGTGTACTTGCCTCGCGTTATTGCTTCGCACCTAAATTAACAGAGTGCTCCTTTATGCAATTTCTTGCATGTTCTGAAACATGCTGCATGAGAACAGGGTCTGTCACAGGCTGAGCCAGCAGGCCGTCACGCCTGTTCGTCCAGCTGCCCGCGCCGGTGCCGCTGGAGCGCCGCCAGCGCCTGCTGCCGGTGCGCGGCCAGCTCTGCGGCTGCCGGCAGCTGGCCTTCCACAGCTGGAGGGTCGCCCGCTGCATCAGCTGCCGGCTCATCGGCTCCTGCCCTCCCATTTGCTCCAGGGCTGCTGGCGGTACCATTCTTGCCTGGCCTGCCACTACCTCCCCGCCTCCGTCGCTGGCCCTCCTTGCTGCGGCTGCGGCTGCGGCTGCGATCCCGGCGCCGCCGCCGCCGCCGCTTGTGCTTGCGGTGCTGCCTGCGGTGCCGCGGCGACAAGCTGCCATCGCTGCCGCTGCGTGGCACGCTCTCTAAACCCCTGCTGCCGCTTCTGCGTCTGCCTCTGGAACTTGAGGAGCTGACGGGGCGCCCCCGTGGCCCCTCTGCCTCCTCCTCTGTGGCCCCAGCTGCTGCTGCTGGCTGGGGTTTCCCGGCCGCAAGTGTCCGCTCGGGTGGTGCGCTGCCCCCACGCTGAGCCCTGCTGCGCCCCTGCAGCAGCAGCAGCTCCAGATAGCCTTCGCTGTCCGACCGCTGCGCCTCCGCAGACCGCCGCCGCCCGCGGTCCTCACCGCCGCTGCTGCTGCTGCTCCTGCTCCTGCTCCTGCTGCTGCTCCTGCCATAGTAGCCATCCTCGTCGCTGTCGCTGCCCTGCCGCCGCGTGCTGGTGCCAGCGCCCCCTACTGCGACCTGCTGCTGATGCTCCTGCAGCTGGTGGCGTGCTTCGGCGCCCGCGGCAGCGGCAGCGGCTGCATCCAGCTGCAGCGTCTGCCAATCGTAAGCTGCCAGGCTGGCGCAGCCAGAGGCCGCAAAGGCTGCCACCTCCCAAGCAAAGCGCTCGGCATGCTCAAACAGGAATGGCGCCGCCGCCGCCTGCACCCTGACCGCCACCTCGGGCAGAGGCACGCCCGCAGCGGCGCTGCCACCGTTGGCCGGCCTGCTGAGCTGGCTGCGAGCTGGCAGTGCCGCCGTGGCTGCAATGCCTGGTGCTGGTGCTGGTGCTGGTGCTGGTGCCGGTCTTGCTAGCGAGCGGCTCGCGGCGCCTGCCGCACGGCCTGCCCCGCCTGGTGCGGGCGGCGGCGCCGCGGGAGGCGCGGAGGCGGCATTGCGCAGCGTGCCCAGCACGTGCTGCGCCACCAGGGCCACGTCCTGCTGCAGCATCAGAGCCTGCAGCTCCCGCCCCACAAACGCCTCCACTTCTGGCCGCTGCGCCAGCCGGGGGGTCAGGCGCTGCGCCGCCAGCCGCTCCCGGGCGCTGCCATCCAGCGCAGAGGAGTAGGCTGCCCGCCGCCGGCGGTGCTGCACGGTGAGCGGCAGCGAGCCGCTGCCGTGGGGCCCTCCGCCGCCACCTCTGCCGCCGCCGCCGTTGCGCACGCGGCGGGCTGGGGCTTGCAAGAAGTAGCGCCGCCTGCATGCACGACGTGCAGGCACAGGTGTGCACGCGAGGACGTTCCGCGCAGCAGCGCCACTGGTACAGCGGGTCATCCGTGCCTGCTCTGCCTTGTCGCTGTATTTTGGTCGTTCTTGTGCTGCCTGCCCGTACCCTGCCTGCGCAGGGGGGAGGCGCCCGCAACCCCCCACCCGGCCCCTGCTACAGTTAGTTCTGAAGCATGTTCGCTGACCTGTAGGCTGTGTCATGGCAGTCATAGATGGCAGACGCAAAGGGGCGGCGGCAGAGCGGGCACGACAGCTGAGGGCCGCCCTGTGCTGCCGCCGCCTGCTCCACCCCGCACTCTGCCCAGCGGCGGATGCACTGCGGAGGGCAGGGCGGAGAGGGGAAGCGTGCACAGCGTGGAGGCGCAAGCAGTCTGGCAGGGGCGGGAGGGTGCCACGCCGGCGCCAGCAGAAGTCCTCAAGCAGCAGTGCTCGCTCCTGTGGCGCACCGCGAAATGGAAGTGGTGCCAGCACTCGTCCAGGAAAGCCTCATCCTCGGGGCGCAGCTCCGCCAGGCAGATTGCGCAGGTGCCGCAGCTGGCCGCCATGGTTGGGTCGAGGGAGAAGGCAGAGCACCTACTCAGCCGCCGCAGTGCGCCCGCCTGCCGCTGCCGCTGCGGCTCCGCCGCGCCGAGGACTCTACTGCTGCTTCTCTGGAACAACCTCCATGCTTTCAGGTCGAGCACGACAGCTCAGGGAGGCTCTAAGGAGGGCAGCAGGTTTGGGAGCGCGCCCAGAGGTAGCGCAGCGCGCAGGAGTGGAGCACAATATGGAGCGGCTATCTACCGGTCATGATTGGGACAGAAATAGCGGCAAAAGGCTGCTGCGACGACGAGGAAACATGAAATAATGCCACCTGGCGAGGGAGGTCAAAACAACCCAAATTTGTTAGTTTGGAGCCACATACGGTCGCCTCTAGCGCTTTTGTGCACCATCAATAGTCTCTAGCACCTCCGCTGCCCGTCTCTCGATCGGCATCCTTCAGCACGAAGGAAGACCGCCGCAGGCCACGTTCTGAGCTTGGAGATCCACGATGGCGGCGACGGAAAACGAGGAGGCCATCATCCGCAAGCGCTACCTCACGCAGACCGTGCCCACGGCCGCCAACGCGCTGCCGCCCTTCAAGAAGCTGGTGAAGAGGCGAGTGCGGGCTGGCAGGGCGCGAGGGCGCAGCTGATGGGGCGCACAGGCATCGCCGCCCTGCTCGCCGCTCCGCGCGTCCCGCTCCCCGAGCGTGTGCCCTGCCCCCCTGCCCGCCCCTTGGCCCCCGCCGCAGGTACATGCAGCTATGCCAGGCGATGGAGGCGGGCGGCAGCCTGGAGGAGGCGGAGCGGCTGTACCCGGAGCTGTTGGCGGACCTGTATGCCATCCGCTTCCACATGCAGAAGCTGGCGGCGCAGGGCGGCGCCTTCCAGGCCGAGCAGCAGCTGTACGCGGAGAAGCAGGCGCAGCTGCAGGCCTCCATCCAGCAGGTGCGTGGGCGGCGCAACGCAGCACCTGGTCAGATGCCGGCGCCGGAGCGAGCAGGCTGGCTGGTCCCGCGCTGCTCCCGCACCCTCCAACACCGCCCTCGCCCTCTCCCCACCCTGCCCCTCCTGCCTCCTGCCCCCCTGCCCTCCGTCCCGCAGGCGGAGCAGGACATTGAGGATCGCAAGCGAGAGCTGGTGGAGGCGCGGGTGGAGCTTGCGCACAAGCAGGAGTACGAGGTGCTGCGCAAGCAGATCATGCAGGCGAGGAGGGAGGGAAGCAGGGAGCAGAGAACACACACAGCGCACCGGGAGCAGGAGGAGGCAGCTGGCAGCAGGCTGAGGTTCGCTGCCGCCCGCATGCTTGCTTTTGTCGCCCCGCTCCGCGCGCCGAGCCAGCCCGTGACGCTGTCCCGCCCTCGCGCCCCGCGCCGACACCCCCGCAGGTCCCCGCCCGGTCCACCACCCTGGCGGAGCAGGCGGCCACCCAGCGGGAGATTGCCGACCTGCAGCAGCAGAGCGCGGCGCTGGACGGCCTGCTGCAGCAGCGCAAGCAGCAGTTTGCGGGGGTGCTGGCCTCGCTGGAGGCGCTGCAGCGCTGCATCGAGCGCGAGGAGCCCGAGGAGAGCGTGGTGGCGATAGGAGAGGGCGGGGCGCCGCCGCCGCCGCCGCCGCCGCCGGCCGCAGCCGCCGCCGCGCAGCAGCAGCAGCAGCCCATGCAGGTTGGGTGATGCGCACCTCGTTTGCTGCTCGCCTGTGCCAGCTCCTCCTCTTTGCTGCTCAGCTCAGCTTTCTTCCTTTCATCCTCGTGTACCCAATCTGTTACTGCTACCGTCTGCCACGGTCATGGAGCGACACAAACACCAAACCAAACACACAAAATAAGGTCCAGTCACAGCATGTAGTGGTTTTTCCACAGCCCCCGTCAGCGTTCTCCCCTCCCCTCCCTCTATGTTGCCAAGCCCCATCTATTTGCCACAACGGGGAAGGGGTGCCGTGTCGCATCGTTGCTGATTGGCGTATGATGCTGGCCTGCTTCGCCCCCCAAAACGTTTAGGAGGAGGAAAAGGGAGAGAGAAGAGGACTGACAGAAAGAGGTTGCCCCCAACCCAGCCACACACATGCCCCGCCACGCCGCGTCGTCTTTCGTTCCCCGTTTTCTCTTCTTGTGTTACATCAAAAAATAACAGCTACCTCAAAACCGCATCAGTAACACCTCAGTAAAGGCTCTCTTCCTGGTGGGTGCTGATCGTCACATCAGACGTGGGGTAGGCGACGCAGGTCTGCAGGTAATCAACGGGGTGAGGGCGGATCAGCAAAGACCGCCGCCCACCGGCATCGATGCGTCCGCTGCTTCTGCGCGGCAGAACCGCAACAACGCCACCCCCACCCAGCCCAGGCTCACCAGCACGAAGCCCTTGCCCATCTGGTCGTCGTCCAGGAAGCTCTGGTCGCTCTGGTCAACGCCGCCAGACTCCACCTTGCCGGCGCAGCTGGAGCACGCGCCCGCGCGGCAGCTGTACGGCAGGTCGATGCCTGCGCAGGATAAAAAATGGCAGCAGCAGGAATGGATGAGCCAGTCGAAACAGGAGGGGCCCAGCCAGCTCGCAGAGGGCCTCTGCACACACCAGCAGCCACGGCCATGCATGGCACCCCGCTGGCCAGACTCACCGGCCTCCTCCGCGGCGTCCAGGATGTAGGTGTCGTCGGCGCACTCGATCACCTGGCGGACAGCAGGACAGAGGGCAGGGTGAGCAGCAGGGCATTCTGGTGGGTGTGGTGGTAGATGGGGTCACGGCCAACCTCCTGGCGCGGTGCCGACACGGCCCGGGATGCCCTGCATTCCGTGCCGATGGATGGGGGCTGTGAAACCGCGCCAGGGGAGCCCGCCATCGCACCTGCTCGCCGGAGGGCGTCTTCAGGGTCACCTTGTAGGCCTGCACCACCAGCTTGGAGGCCTGGCGGGCCTGCACACGCCATCATGGACATGGGAGAGCACAATGTGGGTGGTGGCAGCTCTCGGGTCCGCCCCATCGGGCAGCTCCCGGCATGATGGGGTTGTGCACCAGCACCTCGCCCATTCCACGCCACGATCGCTGCCTCCCAGCACTGGCAGGCCATGTTCCCGCCGACATCGGGCCCGATGGCGGGCAATGCGCCCGGCAGGGCCCCAGCCTCACCTGGCGGGGGGCCACGGCGGTGGGGCGGCGGGCAATGACTGCCTTGCTGCTCAGAGCGGCCTGCATGGTTGCGGGGTGGTGTTGCGGAGGTCGGCGGAGAGCAGCAGAGGACAATGAGGCGGTGTATGGTGGCGGGGGGAGAAGATGAGCCTGGAATCGCTGGAAAGTCCCCGGCGAGGCTACAATGCGGCGCGCCTGGGCGCTCCGCAATGCCAGAAGAGGCAGGCAGACGGAAGCAGAGGGGGTCAGCCGCCCACGGGGGCCTCCCGTCACCGCGCGCCCTGCCACCGCCCGCCGCCACCCGGCCGCCACTTGCAACTGCTGCCTCTCTGGCCAGTCCTGCCCCTAATTCGGTATGTCGCCATTGCCTTCATCGGTGTACCGCCTGCTTTCAGCCCCACACTTCAAGAAGACCCAGACCCGAGGGCAGCCTGCTGACCTGTGCCGCCGTCGCGCCCAGCAGCAGGCGCGCCGTGGCGACAGGTGTTCGGTGTATGCTGGCACGGTCTGTTCAGAGAGCTTAACTTGCTGCGGCGTAGCTGGCAGCCTGTCAGAATGCCGCGACAGACGCTACATCATTGAAGCTGACTAAACCACAGCCCACCCTTTGCATGCCGGCAGCCCCCCCGTAGACTCACGCCCCCAAATCGGAGGCCGCTCCTCTGCTGCGCACGAGCATCCCCTGTTCACCCCCCTAGCTTCTTCAGCTGCAGAAGATTCATCACATTCATTCAGGAAACATAAAAGAGAGCGATCCAGAACCTCAGGCGGAGGAAGCATGGGGGCAAACGGGCAGTGCGCCCGGCGGCAGAAGCACAGACAGGCCTGCACACGACCCAGCACAAGATGTGCTCATGCAGTGCGGGCGTGCTCTGCAGGGAGCTAGCGAACACGGGGGCAAGGGCGCCAGGCTGTACCGCTGCCGCAAGCAGCCAGGGCGGAAGCGGGCACGGCGCAAAGGGACTGCACGAGAGCAAGAGACCAAAAAAAGCATGCAGGACGGTGCGACTGACAAGCGTTCTGTACAGACGCGTCATGAAAGGGTCAGAACGGAGTTTAGGAAGGGAGGGGTGGCCAGTGGAGGATGGCGGCCGGGCTGAACGACGTTGTGTTTGGGAGCCTATCTGCAGCTGTTGATATGTGGAGGCATGGCGGCGCTGCTGCTGGCGGCGCAGGCGCCACACCGCCCGGCTGCTGCGGAAGAGGGCGGCGAAAGTTGGCTGCAGCCAGCAAACTTGCTGGCCAGGCCAGGCCAGGCAGCCAGCCAGTGGGCTCCGCGAGCGCTGCTGCCGCACAGCGCAGCAGCCGGGAGCCAGCACCTCACTCGTCGTCATCTTCGTCAGAGCTGTCCTCATCGCTGCTCCAATTGCGCGTGCTGCACCACAGGCCAGAACAGCGCAGCCGGGTCAGCCAGCAGTTCCATCACAAAAAAGAAAGCAAGCCTGCTGCTGCAACCGAGGACAGGGCTGGCCTGGAGCGGCGCTTGGCAGCAACGCACATCAGCAGCGCCGCCGCGGCAGCAGGGGCCCAGGCAGCAGCCGCCGCACGGCGGGCGTGCAGGCTCTCACCGTCGGGGGAGCAGCGTGTGTCCATTCAGGTAAGGCGGGCGCCCGCCCGCTGCCAGTGCTTGCTTGACTGCCGCCGCGTGACTGGTCAGGCCGTTGTGGTGGGAGTGCGTCTTGCCATTCCTGGCTGGCTGCTGCTGCTGCGCCGCGGGCGCCGCCGGCTGCGCCGCCTGCTGCGCTGCCGGCGGCGGCGGCGTGGGCTTGCCCGCGGGCTTGGCTGCTGACGCCCTGGCCGACGCCGGCTTGGCGGCGCTGGCGGCGGGCTTGGCGGCGCCGGCGCCCTGCCGCGATGCGCCCGCTTTGCTGGCCGCGGCCGGCTGCTGCTTGCCGCTGGCGGCGGCGCCGCGGGGGGGCGCGCCCGCGGCTGCGCCCGCCGGCGGCCTCTTGCCCTTGGCGCCGCCCGGCGCTGCTGCTCCCCCCGCTGCCGTGGGCAGGCTAAGGCTGGCAAAGTCGACCTTCTCCTCCTGGACCAGGCAGGCCTGCAACAGGCAACAGGTGGGGCCGCATCAACAAGGGAAACCCGGGGTAGCAGGAGGGACGCCAGAGACACGGCGGAGGGAGCGAGGCCATTGGCGGCAGCTGGGGCGGGGTGGACAGGGTGGCAGCAGAACCCCCTGCAGCTGCACGATGCGCGGCAGGCGGCTAAGCAAGCAACTGCACGAATCTGTCCTTCATGCCATCCTGTGCCAGCTATGGCTGCTGCCTGCCGCCCCACCCCACCCGGCTGACCTGCTGCGAGGCGCCGCGGATACGATACCATTCGAAGCTCTCGGTGGTACTGCCCATGTCGTAGATGATGCTGCAGCCGGGGGAGGGGAAGAAAGGAGGGAAGTTACGGCCCCGCTGGTGGGGAGGCGGAGGCAGGGAGCGGGGAGAGCGCGGTGGCTGGGGCGCCTTCCTGCCGCCGGCCCTTCCCGGCGCACCACAGGCTGCCCCGCCGGGCCGCCGAGGCGGCGGTGCGCAGCAGGGACCGCTGCGCCGCTGGCTGCGCCGCCGGCTGCCGCCGCTGCGGCCGGCCCTGCCGCCCACCAGTGGTCTCCCGTGTCGGGCCTGTAGTCTGAGATGACTCCCCGGAACCTGCAGCCAAGGGCAGGCAGCGGCAGCGGCAGGGCAGGGCCAGCTGGCAGTGAGACCGTCGTCCACAGCGCCCCAGCAGCCATGGGAGGCCAGGCGAGGCCGCAGGGATGGTCTGGCCGCGGCTGGCTCGCCTCCTGGCTGCTGCAAACTGGCTCAGGGCCGCGGGGCATGCCGGGCTGGGCTGGGCAGCGCCTCACCAGCCGCCGTCGTTGGGCCAGTGGCGCATCACGACGTGCCCCACCAGAGGGTCCAGCACCACCCCCGGCGCAGCCCTCGGCGCGGGCGAGGTGGGCCCCGCCGCCTGCGCCCTGGCGCCGGCGCGGCTGCCGCCGCGCGCGGCCGCGGGCCCGCCGCCCGCCGCGCCGGCGCCGCCGTCCGACACGCGGGCGCGCTTGCGCGGCGCGGCGGCCGCCTTGGCGCCCGAGGCCGGGGTGGCGCGGCGCGGCGGCGCGGCGCCGCCGCCGCGGCTGCCCGCCGCGCCGCTGCTGTGCGCCGCCGACAGCTCCTGGGAGCCGCCGCCGCCGCCGCCGCCGCCTGCGTGGCTGGGCAGCGGGTGCAGCTGGAGGTGGTGCTGGGCTTCCGCCATGGCCGCCGCTTTCACCGACTCGTGCTCCCTGTCTGAGATGACCAGGCCCAGCCGCAGGCTGGCCAGAGCATCCTCCTTCGCCTGCAGAGGCAAGGCAGAGGCACGGCAGCGCGTCGGCCGGGGGGGGCGATCGGACAGGCTGGGGGCCAAATCCAGCGCGGCAGCTGCCCACCACCCTTCCGCCGACTCGGCTCTTCCCGATGCATCCCTCGTCGGAAGGGACTGGGGCCAGGGCGGGAGGCACGCACACTGTGCACGCCAGGCCGCGAGCCGGGCCCGGCTGACTGCAGGAGAGCCGGCCGGCGGGCGCCCTGCCACCATGCTCACCAGGTCGTAAGAGCCGGCCATGAAGATGGCGAAGACTTTCCGGTAGGCATCCAGCCGCACCGCCGCTGGGGGCAGCTGCGCCTGCGGCATGAGTTGCGGCTGCAGCAGCGGGGCAGGCGCCTGCATCCCCACCAGGCCGCCCGCGTGCTGCGCCATCACAGCGGCCATGATTGGGGCCGCCTGGGGCTGCCGCGTCCGTCCAGGCGCTGCATGGAGGCAGGAGGCATTGGCGCGGGGTGACACATTGGCATGCTGGGGGCGGCAGGTGCCCTGCACCCGGGCGTCACTGCCCAGCGCTCGCCGGCGGCGCCGCCGTCCAGCAGGACGGCAGGCCTCCGCAACGCGGCGGCATGGCGGGACGCGTTCATGCCGGTTTGTTGCTGCTTGTGGGCCATTGGAAGCGAGCTGGCGGGGGCCAGGCCAGTGGGCAGGAGCCCGCTGCACAAATCGGCTGGGGGGGCAGGCAGGCGCGGCATCGGCCGGCCCAAGAGGCTGGACATGGCACTCACGTGTCTCAGGCTGCGCCGCAGGTGCGGCAGGTGCGCCGCTGGGCCACTCCAAGAGCCAGGCGATCAGGGGAGTGGATGTCCCCCCTTGCTTGCAGGGAGGAAGCGATGCGCCTGCACTGAGGCCACTGCCGGAGGAGGAAGACAGGCTTCCGCCATCGTTTCGGCCATGCCAGATGCAATCTGAGCTGACATGGCAATGGCAATTTCGATGGAAACAATTTCGATGGAAACCTGCTGGCAGAGTCCCATCTGAGCTGTTGGCATCCAATTCAGGACTGCACAGGCCCGCACATGCCCCCGCAACCACGCCCACCCCCCAGCGGCGCTTGCAGGCACCCTGTGCTGCGTCTGACAGGGCTGAGAAGACCAGTGGCAATGTCGTCGCCCGCTGACAGGGACAGCGCATCAGTGCCGTCCACACCGCAGACCGCCGCTGCCGCCCAGCCGCCAACGCAACGGTGCCAGCAAGGCGGCCCCAGGCAACAGCAGCCTGCTGCGGCAGTGCAGCTGAGGACCTGCAGGCGCTGCAAGCAAGCGTTCGATCCGTCCACCAATGGGCCGCACAGCTGCCGCTACCACAGCGCACTGTGGACGGGGGGAGAAGTCAGCAAGGCGCTCGGCTTCTGCCGCCAGAGCGACCGGCCAGAGCACCAGCTGCGGGTGGTGGTGGGCAAGACGGGGCTCATCCGGTGGGTCCCTGCTGCCAGCCCCACCCGTGGGCAATCGAAGCGGCAAGGGCGTGAATGACAGCTCTTTGGGCAGTGTCTGGCGATGCACCACACAATGCGGATGTTGCTCGAAGGTTTGAAGCAAAGGATGCCCCCTCGTCTGCCGCAGGTTCTGGGACTGTGAGCAGGGGCTGGGCCCAGTGCTGCTGCTGGTGCATGGCACAGTGAGCAGTACGAGAATTGCCAGCTTCTGGGTTGTTGCGCATGTAGCAGATGGGAAGACTGGCATGCCTGGCTGTGGCTGCAGGCTGTGGAGCAGACTTGGAAGACGCGCCAGGCTGCTGCACCAGCAGGCACGTCACATACGATGACCCAGACGACTGAGCTGACGACTGGCGGCTCCCTGGATCATTTTTAGTTGCGTTGGAATCATGGAATGGGTCGTGTTGTACAATGCAACAACAACTACAGTGGAGCCAAGGAGGATGTGGAAGGAGGATTTTCTTCGATCTCGGATGATCAAGTGCGAGAGGGAATCCGGTGGGCTTTGTGTCCTGTGTGTGCCAAAGAACAGCGCGGCAGGCAGGCGGTGGGGCAATGCTGTGTCAGCACAGATGCCGAGACCAGAAAAACACTGGATGGATCGCTCAGGGGGGCAGCAACAGAAGGGGTGCTGCTACAGTACAGATTGTGGTGGAGGGCAGTATGGAACAAGGGATGCAACAAGGTGCCGGGACCAGGGTGGGCTGCATCTTGGAAACAGCAGGCGCAGCTGCGTGCGGTACAGTGCAGCGCGGGCCGGCGTGCGAGTGCCCAGCCAGCAGTGCGGTTAGTACAGGCTGGCTCACAGCATCTAGAGACGTCAGATGCGTGCTCAGTTGAAGAGGCGGGTGAGGGCCAGGGTCCGCACAAGGCCTAGCACCAGCGGCGCCGCCAGCCGCCCTGCCGCTGCCGTGCCCCTGAACGCGCCGCCGGCCAGGGTGCTGGCCACAATGGTGCCTGCAGGGCAGCGTCACGCGCAGCCGGGGTCAGCAGATCCCGGAGCACGCAGCTAGGATGGAGCATGCACAGCAACGCAGGCATGGCAGGGAGCAAGCACACGTTTGAGCTGCACTGCCAGCAGGCGCGCGCAGGCGGCACAGGGATGCTGCAGGCTCCAGCCACAGCGGCTGCGCACGCACCCCGCTGCACCAGGCAGCTGCCAAGCTGCACGGTGATGAGCAGCGACTGCGTGACTCCCCTGGCGAAGCCCACCACAGTGCCTGTGTATGCACACACCATAGACCTGCGCGGGGTGGGAGGGCGGGCGGTTGGTTTCAGGGTGGCAGGGCGGCCGCTTGGTGTCAGGGTCAAACAGCAGGCACGCTGGGCAGGCAGGGGACAGGCAAGAGGGCCAGCCACGTGGCCAGGAGATGGCACTGTCGCGGCTCTGCGGGAGACCCTGCGTTCATGACGCGCTGGCGAGGCAGGTGCTGCCCGGGCGGCCAGGCTCACATGAGGGCTGCCTGCGCCGCGAGCCCCACCACACACGCCCCCAGGCAGAGCGCCATGGGCACCTGCAGGGCAGAAACGCCGCACAGGAGCGGTGTCTCAGGATGTGCGGAGTTTGATGCGCGCCGCACAGGGGTGAGCCAGCGCAGGCAGGCAGGCAGGCAGGCAGGCGCCCACGCAGCATCCACACCCCGCCGGGGCCGACGCACGCAGGCAGCCCTGCAGACAGCAGCGCACCTTGAGCGGGGGCAGGGTGCCTGCTGCCAGCGCCACCTCGGGGGCCCAGCGCGCCAGCCCCTCGATGTTGGCCCGGGAGCTGCCCGCCGCCCAGCGCATGCCGCTGCGGAAGCCGGCCACCCCGGCCTGCATGCCGTGCATCGCTCCCGCCAGCAGGATGCCAAACCTCCAGCACTGCGGGCGGCGACAGAGGAGTGAGGTGGCGACGACGGCAGCGGCGCAGCGAGGCCTGGCGGGTGAGGGCTGGGATTCTTCGGGAGCCAGGCCGCCCAGCCACGCCTGTTGCCCGGCACTGCCTAGCCACGACCAAAGCGCAGCGCCCCCTGTGCAGAGCCTGCTGGCTGGGCGCACCTCGAGCACGGCCCCCCAGGGCACGCGGCCCATGAAGCCGCGCAGCGCCTCGCGCCAGTCGCGTGGCGTGGCGGGCGGCATGAAGGCCTTGCTCCAAGGCGCCCTGCAGACGTCGCAGCGGCGGCTGGCGCCGATGCCCTTCTGCACCCGCAGCTGCTGCTGCCAGTGGCCCAGGCACCGCACGTGCACGTGGCGCTGCGGCGGGCAATGGGGGCACGGCGATGGGGGGTAGTGTGTGTGAGTGTGTGTGAGGAGGCGGCAGGCAGAGCTGCGGCGGGCAGCGGGAGCGCACCATGCTGCCACTGCAGGCGCAGGGTGCCACCAGCCCATTGCCGTCCGCCTCATCTCCTTCCCAGCATATCCGGCACAGGGGAGGGTCCCGGGGCCCGCCAGACGACCCGTGGGGTTCGGCTCTGCTGCACCGCAGCGGCCGCTGCTTGCGGCGCGGCAGCAGGCGCGCCACCTCCATGCCCCCTGATCAGCAGCGTCAGGTTTGGGCTGCCGGGCTGCCGCGGAGGCGATGCGACACCAGCAGGCGATGCGAGAGGAGGGGGCTGCTGCTACAGGTGTTTGCTGTGCTGCTCCTTTGTCGAAATGTAATTGTGCAAAGTGGCGGATCCCCAGGGCTCGGCGCGATGCATGCAAACCCAGCGGCGCAGCAGGCCCCGCAGCACAAGCATTTTTTGAGTTTGGAGCGGCCCCGCCGCCCCAGAAGGCCCACTGCCGTTGCCTACATCCCAATCCGCATCGCTGAACACCTCACAGACGCCCACAGCCAAGTTCCCATCTTGCGCAAGTTCCTGCCTTGCGCCAATGGCCGAGAACGACAATCGCAACGTTGAAGACGGCGCGCCCATCACGATCAAGGTCCAGGCCCAGGCAAGGCTGCCTCGCCGATCACTTCTCATCTGACACTCCTTGCTCTGCCTGCGGGGAGGCATTTGCCAATGAGCGAGGGCGGATGATTGGCTAGGGTGGAGAGGCCTTCGCCATGCGCAAAGCAGGGAAGAGCGGGGGCGGCGGAATGAGGTGCCTGCACACAGGCAAAGCCGCTGTTGCATTCCAAGTTGCGGCGCGCCACTCACTGCTGCTGCACCTGCGATGTGCAGGACGGCAATGAGATCTCCTTCAGAGTGAAGCCCAAGACGCCCTTCCAAAAGGTGTGGCCTGCCAAAAGGGAATGCACGCTGTGCGTCCACACAGAAAACGGCCCAACATCCGCCTGACTGCATGAAACCACCTGAACGCTGCAGATCTTCAACGCTTATTACCAAAAAACGCAGCAAGATCAGAACCTCTTAAAGTTCTTGTTCGACGGGCAGCGCGTGCGCCCCGAGGAGACGCCTGCTGACCTTCAAATGGAGGAGGGGGATTCCATTGACGCCATGATCAACCAGATGGGCGGCTGCTGAGGCGGTCCAGGCTGGGAGCAGGCAGCAGCAGCACATCGTGTATTCTAGCAACAGTGTTCTCAACCAGCCGTGCCTGGTTCTGTATGGCACAGGTGGCAGTCAGTCCTGCTTACTTTTCCCTACATGTTTCTACATTGGGCATGCGTGCAACTTCTAAGCAGCGCAGCTCAACCCGGAGGCCTTCCACGACGTGATGAGCACCCATGACGCAGGCATGCGTTCCGGCCGCATGCCAAGCACGCCCAGGCCGCCGCCTCCAACTGCTGCAGCACCATTTGGCCCACGTGGCGGCAGCCAGCCTGGCAGCAGCGGGGCTGCATGATGTCGCTCAAGTGCCATACGCCAATTACAAGGGACTGCAAGCCAAGCCTCAGCGAGCGTGCCGCAAACCGGGCCAGCAGCGCAGGCATGGTGCCGGCGCCGCCGCTGCTCCCGCTCACTCGTCGAACACCTTGCACTCCTTGGCCGAGGGGTCCACAGTCTCGCAGTACTCCAGCCGTGCCGCCTCCAGCGGGTCGGCCTTGGCAAAGGCCTTCTCCAGCTGCTGCAGCACCACCTCCCCCATTTGCCGGCAGCCGACCTGGGAGCAGCCGGGCTGCATGATGTCGCCGGTGCGGTAGCCAGCATCCAGCGCCGCCGTCACCGCCGCCTCCAGCCGCTGCGCCACGCGCGGCAGGCCCAGGCCGTAGCGGCACATCATGGCCGCGCTCAGCACCATGGCCAGCGGGTTGGCCTTGTCCTCGCCCGCAATGTCGGGCGCGGAGCCGTGCACCTGCAACGGCATGCGGTGGTTGGTCGGGAGGGCTGGGTGGGTGGGAGCGCACATGCCTGGGACGGCGAGCAGGCATGGCTGGGCCAGCGCGCACAAGGGCCCCGCTCCCTCACCGGCTCGTAGATGCCCGGCTTGCCCGGCTCGCTGATGGAGGCGGAGGGCAGCATGCCCAGGGAGCCGGTCAGCATGGAGGCCTCGTCCGACAGGATGTCCCCAAAGATGTTGCCGGTGACGATGGTGTCAAAGTACTTGGGGTTGCGGATCAGCTGCATCGCCGCATTGTCGATGTACATGTGGCTCAGCTCCACCTCGGGGTAGTCCTCGGCCACCCGAGTCACCACCTCCTTCCACAGCTGGCTGACCTGCAGGAGGGCCATACCGCAGCACCAGCGCTGGCGCAGGCTCAGGCGACGTGGCGCAGGGACGCAGGAGGCTGCAGAGGAAGGAGCCAGGCAGCCGGCGCCAGGTGGCTGAGCCCACCCAAGCGGGTCAACCCACCTCGAGCACGTTGCTCTTCTCCACGCTGCACAGCCGCTTGCCGCGCTTCATGGCCGCCTCAAACGCCACCCGGGAGATGCGCTCCACCTCGCTCTCGCTGCGGGAAGAGGGAGGGTCACATGTAGGCCAGGAGGGAAGGAGGGCCAGGGATCAGGTCTGCTGACCGGCGGGTAGCCACACAGGGCCAGCGCCAGCCAGCCCCAGCAGGCAGGCTCCTCTGCAGCTGCCGTGCTGACCTGTACACATCCGTGTTGAAGCCCACCCGCTCGCCATTGCGCTCCTCAAAGCCCTGCAGCATGGGTTTCGCCGTGGGAGTGCGTTGGAGCAGCGACTGCGCTGCAGCGGGGCAGGACCATTCACCTGCAGCTGCCACAACAACCCACTGCAGCGCCACTCCCATCCTGCTCACCCGAGGCTCTCCAAAGTAGATGCCGCCCACCAGCTCCCGCACAATCATGATGTCCACGCCCTCCACCACCTCCCGCTTCAGGGTGGAGGCGTCGGCCAGCTGGGGCAGCACCACCGCGGGGCGCAGGTTGGCAAAGGCGTTGAGGGAGGAGCGCAGGCGCAACAGGCCCTTCTCGGGGCGCTGCGCGTTGGGCAGCGAGTCCCACTTGTACCTGCAGCAGAGGGAGGGCGAGGCAAAAGGCAGCAGGTGAGGAAAGTGGGGACGTGAACCAGCAAACCAGATGCTGGCTGCTGGAAACGCAGCATGGCAGCACTAGGGAGCAGTGCGCCCAAGCGGACAGAAGGGAACCGTCCTCAAACCGCCGCGCGCCGCACCCGCCGATGCACGCCAGCAGCACCGCGTCGCTGCTCTTGCAGATCTGCTCCGTCTCTGCGGGGTACGGGTCGCCTGTGGCATCGATGGCTGCGCCGCCAATCAGCGCCTCGGTGTATACAAGCTCCTCGCCCTCGGCCCGGGCCGCCGCCGTCAGCACCTTGAGGCATGCGTCGGTGATCTCGGGTCCGATGCCGTCGCCACTCAGTACGGCAATCTTGTGTGCCGCAGCCACCTGCAACCAACCATGGACCAGGCGCCCATCAGCAAGCCGAAGGGTGCGGCTGCCGGCTGGCGGAGCAGGATAGCGGCGGCGGCGGCGGCGGCAGCGCTGTGAGTCGGTCCCTGGGCGCGGCGGTGCTGGCGCATTGTGCACATTTCGGCAGCCTGCACATGTGGCAGCGCCCATCGGGCCTCCCGTGCTCGCACCTGCACGCTGCGCCGCTGGGCTCGGCAAGGCCGCACGCCTGCGGGCCGCACACAGCGCACAGCAATTGATGCATGCATGCTGGTATCGAATTGGCCAGGAAAAAGGGCGATGCCGGCCCCACCCGATGGGATGGCAGCCCCCCTCACTACACATGTACAGCTCTGCAGGGGCCGCTTCAGCACCCTGCGCATTGCGCACATTGTCAGTTCGCAAGACAGCCCTTGATTTGCCAACACAGGCAAACAGGTGGGCCATGCATGCAGCTTGGCGCCCATGCAAGTCCCTCAACGCCTGCACTGCCTGGCAAGCGCCTAACCGGCTGTCTTGATGCGCTGCACATCGTAGGAGCACGTCTCCCGGGCCGCCCACGCTGCATCACGCACCCTTGCGATCAGCTCTCTCCCGGCCCTCGTGCGGCTCCCTTCCTGCCCCCTGCAGACGCACGGACAAGCTGAGTAGAGTCACCTGGCGCGCGATGGCATTCTGGGGGGTGGAGGTCAAGCCGGGCAAGGCGGTGCCGTTTGTGCCGCCGCCAGAGGGCTCCAAGCTGCACCTCTCGCAGGTGTGCTGCTCACTGCTGTCTTGCAGGCCTGCTATCCTGCCTGCCCACTGTCGCTGCACCGTCATCGGCGCTCCCGCCATGCTGCCGCTCTGGCGCCGCACCCAGGCAGCAGCCTGCTCACCTTCGCTCTCCGCTCCTGCCCGGTGCCCCGGTTGCCTGCAGGCATGCCTCAGCACCAAGGCCAAGCCGGGCGCCAAGGCGGCGCTCAAGGTGCGGGTGAGCGACGAAGGCACGCAGCTGCTGGTGTGCAGCCTGCGGGAGGGCGGCGCCGAGTGCCTGGGCCTGGACCTCATCTTTGACCAGTGAGTGGCGGCTGGTCTGGATGCCAGGGAGAGTGGTGCTTGGGCTGGCTTCCAGGGAGAGTGGGCTGCCTATCAGGAGACTGAGCGGCGCCTGGGCCGGCTGCCACGGACAAGCAGGCACCGGCGGCAGGCCGGCGGCACGCCTCCACACGCCTGCCCGCGCGCCGTCCGCATGCCAAGCCTGCTGTGCCCCATGCTGTGCCTGCTGTGCCCCACTGCAGGTACACCGAGTTCACTGTGGAGGGCGGCGCCTCCATCCACCTCACCGGCTACTACATGCCCGAGTATGAGCTGGGTGAGGGGCTGGGAGGGGCTCGCCAGGCTCGAAGCTGGCGCTGCTCGAGCTGCGGGGCTTGCTGCGCGCGCCGCCACCAGCTCAGCTGCGCCCTTCTTAGCCCCCCCTGCGCTGCCGGCACGAGCCCTGCGCGCCGCCTGCTCCAGCTCCCGCAGCAAACACACGCCCGCATCTGGGCCCCCTCGCGCTCGGCTCTCCTGTTGCCCGCCGTGCAGGCGGCGAGGAGGAGGAGAGCGAGGAGGAGGATGGGTACGGGTACGGCCCCGGCCAGATCCTGGGGTACGATGAGAACGGCGTGCCGGTGCTGGCGGGCGAGTACGATTCTGAGGAGGACAGCGACTACGAGACGGAGGGTGAGCGCTCCAGGGTGTGGTTGGGTGGTGATGGGGGTGCAATGTGTATGTGATTAGGCAGAGGGTGAGCGCGGGAGAACAGGGCAGCACGCAGGCAGGCATGCCCGTGCCTGTCCCGTCTCGCTCCCTGCGCTCCCTGCCTGCGCTCCCTGCCTGCCTGCCTGCCCAGGTGCATGCCTGCGCCAGGTCCCCGACTGCCCCCTGGCTGCCGGCCCCGCCCCGCCCTGCCCTGCCTGCAGACGAGGAGGAGGATGAGGAGCTGGGGTCCGACAGTGACCTCAACCCGCCGCGCCGCATCGTGATTGAGGACGTGACGGTGAGGGGCGGCCAGGATGTGTCGCGCCTTGGGTGGTGGTTTTGCCTCCCGGCAGGGAGGGATCGCTTCAGCGGGGGGGCCTCGGGATCGGGCAGGCGGCGGGCGGGAGGCGGCAGCGGCCCAGGCTGCAGGCCCGACACCGGTGCACGACAACGTGCGGGGCACGCGAGCGGGGCCCGTGGAGGGGTGGTGCGCGTGCCCGCTCGACTCCTGCGCCGCGCTGCGCTGCGCTGCCGCCGCAGGACGCGGACAGGCGGGCGGCGCTGCCGGCGCCGGAGCAGGCCAACGGCCTCCGGGTGGCTGAGTTCAGCGACAGCGATGTGGAGGCCAGCGATGAGGATGAGGAGGAGGCGGGCAGCGAGGAGGAGGAGGGTAGCGAGGACCAAGAGGAGGGCAGCGGAGGTGGGTGGCTGCACACACACACACCACTGCGGGGGCTGCACGAGGCTGGCCGCTCTGCCCTGCTAGGCTGGCTGCTCTGTGGAGGCCCCGGCAGCCTGCGTTTGGCAGCACAGCGGGGATTTGGCTCACTGGCCACCCTCCGTGGCTGCTGCCTGACCGCGCTGTGCCCTGCAGAGGAGGAGGAGGAGGAGAGCAGCGGGGAGGAGGGGTCGGGCAGCGAGGATCTTGGCAGCGAGGAGGAGGCGGCGACGGCTGTCAAGGCGGCGCAGGCGGGGCAGAAGCGCAAGGCGGAGCAGCCGCCTTCCGCCGCCAAGCAGCAGCCCAAGCAGGCCAAGCAGGCAGGCGCCGCGACGCCGGCCGCCGCGGGCAAGCAGCAGCAGGGCGCGGCGCCGGCGGGGGCGGCGCAGCGGGAGCAGGGCGCGGCGCCGGCCACCGCGGGCAAGCAGCAGCAGCAGGCGGCGGGCAAGGCGGCCACTCCCGCCAAGAAGCGCACCTTCCCGAACGGCTTTGAGATAGAGGATCTCAAGATGGTGAGGCTGGAGCAGGGGTGCTGCTGTGCTGCAGCTGCAGTTTTAGTCAGGAGGTGAAGCAGGCGGCTGGCTGGTGTCGCTGCGCCGGGGTCTGGTTGGCGCTGAGCTGGCAGCCGCACGACTCGGCGGACAGGATGGATGCTCTACCAGGGCCGCTGGGGCTGGCTTCCTGCATCCACGTCTGCCTGACCTGTGTTTGCACCCCTGGGCCTGGACGAATGCATTGTCACCTGCATGCCCGCACCCTCACCCGCCCGCCTGCAGGGCCGCCCCGACGGCCAGCTGGCCAAGGCGGGGAAGAAGGTGGTGGTGCGGTATGTGGGGCGCGTGAAGGCCAGCGGCAAGGTGTTCGACCAGACCAAGGGCAACGCCACCTTTGGCTTCCGCCTGGGGGTGGGGGAGGTCATCAAGGGTGAGCTACTTTCTTGCCATGGGAGGATGTGAACGGGTGGAGAGCGGATGGAAAGGATGGGAGTGGGAGGGCAGGCCCGCGTGGCGCAGCGAGGACGCCACGGCATCCCACATGCAGCAGGGCTGAGCTGCTGCGGCTGCCTCGCCTGGGCAGGGCTTTCCAGCTGAGCCTGGCGTGCTGCACCTCCCCGCAGGCTGGGACCGCGGCGTGGAGGGCATGCGGGTGGGCGACAAGCGGCGGCTGACCATCCCGCCGGCAATGGTGGGTGCTGCTGCCAGAGGCTGTGCTGCTGGAGCAGCACCAGGGATCCGCGGCTCCTCCTGCCTGGCCTCCCTGCCCATCTCTTCACGGCACCTCCACACCGCTCCACTGTCTTGCAGGCTTACGGCTCGTCTGGCGTCAGGGGCACCATCCCTCCCAACAGCACGCTCGTGTTCGAGGTGGAGCTGGTGAATGTGAAGTGACGCGAGGGCGCCTCCACTGTGGCTGTGCGCACTCGGCTGGCACATTGCAACGCAGAGGGCGACGCATCTCCCTGAGGGCCATTCTACTTGATTTTTAGCCATGAAGGATGGATGATTTGACGTTTAGGACCCAAAAACTGCCGATACGCGCTCAGTTAGGTTTGCTTGAGTATCCAGAGCCACACAGCGATGGAGCCGGCTCCCGACCACCGACCCGCATGCGCCGCCGCCACTTGCCAGATCAGAACAGGCCAGCCCCACATGCTCCCATCGCACCATCTATCCATTTATGCTCCTGGGTCGCCACTTCAAGCGCAAAACAAGCTTCCGGAGGCGCAGAGAGGCGCCAGCAATGGCAGGCAGGAAGGCAGGAAAACCACGAGAGACTTCATTGCGTTGCGGCGCTCCCGCCTCTTCGATTTGCAACGCTCCCCATCCCAATTCGGCCACGCATGCCAAGCAGCAGCACCTGCGCTGACCAGTCGGTGGCGTGAGGGGAGGAGGCAGCCAGGTGCCATGGCGGGCCCCCACGGCAGCGACCCCGCCCAGGAGGTGGAGAGCAGGAAGAGGAAGCGCTCCCAGAGCGACGAGCCGGAAAACGCCAGCACATGCAATCAGAGGAGCGCCCACAGCCCTCAAGACCGTGCCTCAGCGGAGCCTGGGGTGCCTGATCAGCCCGCCAAGGCTGGCACCCACCCGGAGGAGGCCGACAGCGGCGCCCAGGTGGGCCTCGCGGTGGTGCCTGCGCCAGCGGACGGCTGCACCGGTCCTGCGGCGGCGGCCAGCACGTGGCCGGCAGGCGTCTGTGTTGCGTTTTGATGCCTTTGTCTTCATGATTCCGAATTTCCTGCCCCCACCACCTCGGCTGTGCGCAGGGCCCTTTTGGCGACCTGGGTCTGGATGTGGACCTGCCTTCCGAGCTGGTGGCAGAGTGCGGTGCTGCAGAGGCGGCCGCCGCCGCGGCAGGCTTCCTGCCGCTGGATGGCGACGAGCTGGAGCAGGAGCTGCCCATGGCTGTAGACCCGCCTTCCCCAGCCGGACAGCAGGCGGAGGCGGCTGGCACGGCGGCAGAGGCCGCGGCGCAGCCGGCGGCCGCCGACGGCGCCGCCGCCGCCGCCGCCAGCGGCAGAGGCGCATCTGTTGTGGAGGAGCTGTCGCTGGGCGCGCCTGCGCGGGCGCGCGGCGCCGAGGCGCTGCCCCCCGCGCCCAGCAAGCAGGAGAGCGCGCTGCTGCCGCAGTGCGCCATGGTCACGGGCGGGGCGCTGGAGGCGGCAGAGGTCAGCACCCGCGAGGCGGCCGCCGGCTTCGAGGCGGCGGCGCCGCTGCCGCCGCGCGACCCCTCCCAGCAGTACCTCGCCGTCAAGGCCGAGCTGTCCCGCGCCCTCATCCGGCCCGACCAGGCGGGCGTCAGCTGGGACCGTTTCCCCAACCACCTGGGGGAGGGCTTGCGCAGCCGGCTGCTGGCGCTGGCCACGCTGCACCTGGGCGCCGCGCCCGTCCCCGCCGCCATCAAGGAGCTGGCGGCCAACAACAACCGCGTGCTGCTGGGGGCCGCCACCAACTGCGAGCTGTACCAGGAGAGGATGGTCAGGTGGGCCGGTGGTGGTGGTGGGTTGGGCTTGGAGTGGTGGCTGGGAGTGGGTGTGAGTGTGGGCTGGGAGTGTGGGCTGGGAGTGTGGGCTGCGAGTGGCTACTTGCAGCGGCTTGGAGGCTGGCTGGGCTGCCACCGCGCTACCGAGATGCCCGGCTGCACCTGCCTCCTGCAAGCCCGCCGCTGAATGCACCTGCCTCCTTTCTTGACCCCGCCTTCCTCTCCCGCCCGGCCCTGCCCCTGCCGCCGCAGGGCGCTGGCGCACAAGGCGCAGGCGCCGCTGCTGGTGGTGGATGTGTTCAACCTGAAGCTGGAGGAGGTGCTGCGGGAGGAAAGCGCGGCGGCTGGCATGCTGGACGACCCATACGCAGGCGCCGGCGGCGGCTTTCCACCAGAGCCCTGGGAGGTCTCAGGTGGGCCCCCCTGGCCTGCCTGCCGCCGCTGCTGGGCCTGGCCGCTCTGAAAGCAGCTGGCGCTTTGCCTCGTGGCCGGGACGGCTGGTGCACTGCTGCTGGCTGGCACCGCGGCTGGACCTGGGCTGGGTTTGGAGGAGGTGGTGGGGAGGGAGAGCCGGGGGCCAGGTTTCATGGTGCCCGCCATGTGGCCTGCTTGCTGCTGACGCCATGCGTGCATGCCCTTGCCCCGCCGCCCCCTGGGGCAGACGAGGACGACCCCTTTGTGGGCCTGCCCAAGGCGGAAAAGCGGGACGGCGGCGCCAGGGACAGCATAGACACGGCGCTGGCACTGCGCACCAAGCAGACCGCGCGGCGCAACATGCCGCACATGCCAGGCGTGGCCTACCTGTCCCTCTCCATGCCGGGGATGAAGCAGCAGCCGTACAGCATGGCTGACGCCTTTGCGGCGTCGGCCGCGTCGGCAGAGCAGGCGGGGCAGGCGGCCAAGGAGGCGCACGAGCGCGCCAAGCTGGCGCACGAGCGGGCAAAGGAGGCGCATGAGAGGGCCAGGGAGGCTGCCGAGCGGGTCAAGGCGGCCAAGGCCAGGGTGGAGGCTGCAGAGGCTGAGGTCAGGGCTGCCTCCCAGCGGGTGGGCGCAGCTGCCGAGGCGGCGCAGGCGGCAGGGGCAGCCCCGGAGGCAGACAAGGAGATGGAAACGAAAGAGGAGGCGGAGGAGAAGGAGGCGGAGGCAGACGAGAAGGAGGCGGAGGAGAAGGAGGCGCCGCCTGCCGCGTCTGCGCCTACGGCAGCTGAACCGGCGGCAGCCGGCGCGCAGCGGCCCGCAGCGTCGGCCGTGGCGTCTGGCGCGCCGCCGCCTGTGATGGGTATCAGCCCGTCTGAGTGGGAGAGTCTGGCGAAGATCTTCACTATGACCAAGCCCGCTGCTGGGACCAAGCCCGCTAGCGGCGGCACCAAGCCGGGAGAGTGGCCTGAGCCGGTGGCTCGGTTTGACCGCGGCCCCAGGTCCGCTAGCGCGCAGCCGGGCGTCCCCATTGCAGCCTCCAAGGCCACGCCGCCAGCGGTGCGGCGCGGCGACCGCGTCTCTTATGTGGGCAGGGTGCACCCGAGCCTGGCGGCGGCGCAGGAGCGGCTGGACCAGCTGCAGGCGGCCATCAGCCGGGTGGAGGCCAGCGGGTCGCAGCGCCACCGCGACTACCTGCCGCAGCTGCTGGTGCGCCGCACGCTGGTGGCGGCACAGAGCCAGCGCGTGCCTCGCATGCAGGGCCTGGCGGCGCCGCCCATCGGATCCAGGGGGCGCGTGGTCAGCGTGGCAGGCGACAAGGTGCGCTGCGGCGGGCTGGCTGGGAGCTGGCTGGGCAGGAGAGCAACGCGGGGGTGCATCGCCCTCAGCGCCGACGCCTGCCTGCGCCTCTGCACTGCTGCGGCATCCGGCTCACCCACAGGCTGCCATGTGTGCTGGCCCGTCGCCGCAGGTGCACGTCGTGTTGGATGAGCCCTTTGCTGGAGGCGCCAGCCTGCCAGGCCAGAAGGACAAGTGCGGCTTCCAGTGCGCCGCAGACGACCTGCAGGTGCCCCCGCCACGCCTGCCCGCCACGCCTGCTGCCCTGCCTGCTTTGGTTGAAGCAGGCAGCCACCAACACACACGCCTTGGCCTGCCGTTCCAGCAGCGGCAGCAGGCGCCTGCCAACGCCGCTGCTGCTTCGAGCTCAATTCTGCATTTCTCAAGAATGCTGCCGCCTGTGCATCATCTCTGCGCAGGTGGTTGAGGACAAGGAGGACCCTCTGGTCAGCTCCCTGCAGGCGCTGTTTGACGTGATTGCGCAGGAGGCGAAGAAGGGGCCGCTCATCGTGTTCATCCAGGTGTGTGCGTGGGACAGGGAAGCGGCGGGGAAGGGGACGGCGCGGCCAGCTTGGCCCGCTGCGCTGCTGGCTGCAGATTCCTGTCCTCGGCGCGCCCTGGCGGGCACCCGAGCCTGATCTCTGTCGTTCAGGGTTCATCCCCACTCCTTCCGCTGATGGCCCACCCCCTTGCGCCTGCCTGCCTACCTGCTTTCACCCGTGGGCTGCAGAATCTGGACCGCCTGCTGCGCACCCATGCCACCGACCACTTCCGCAAGCTGGAAGCGCTGCTGGCCTCGCTGCCGCCCCGCTGCCTGCTCTTTGCGGGCTACTGCTCCCGCTCGCTGGCGCGCGCCGAGGCCAAGCGCGAGGGCGGCCCGCAGTCGCTGTCCCGCTTCTTCGGCGGCCTGGGGGGAGACACGGGGTTTGGCGGCGGCGGCGGCGGCAGCGCGGCCGGCGGCGGCGGCGACGACCTGGCGCTGCTGGACCGCTTTGGGCGCGGGCCCGGCTGCGGCCAGCGCAAGTCCACCAAGGGCCGGCTGCTGGCCAAGATGCTCCCAAACCACCTGGAGCTGCACCCTCCCAACCAGGAGGCGCACGTGTGTGCCTACGGCTGCCCGCGCGGCTTGCGGTTGTTGTCCTGGCCGGGACAGCTCGGCATGGGGCGGGTCTGGATGCTGCCCTGCACACCGTTCCTGCCGCTCTCTCACCCCAGCGCAGCCCCGGCTACTGGCTGGCCGCATGTTGGCCAGCGGGCTGCTGCCGACCGCCGGCTGCCCGCCGCACTGCCGGCCCCTGCAGGCCAAGGCCTGGAAGAGGATGGTGGAGGCTGATGTAGCGACCATGCGCCAGCGCTCCAACCGCACCGCGCTGCGCAAGGCGCTGGCGCGCTGCGGCTGCGACTGCGATGACTGGGACGCCGTCAGCATCACCGACTGCCAGCTGGCGCGCAAGGACATTGAGCAGATTGTGGGGGTGGCGGTGGCGCAGCAGGTGACGGGTGAGGGGCCGCCAGAGGGCATGGAGGTGGAGGAAGGTGCAGCCAAGGAGGCGGCGCCAGCGCCTGGTGCAGCTGCTGAGATGGCGGCACCTGCCGAGGGTGCCGCCGCCGCTGCCGACGCTTCCGCCGTCGTCGCGCTGGAGCGCAGCGGCAGCGTGGCGGCTGCCGGGGAGCCAGCAGCCGCTTCCGCACCGGCGCCGCCGCCTGGCGGCGCTGCGCCAGCTGCGCCGCGCGAGCAGCAGCCGGCAGCGGCAGCTGCGGCGGAGCAGCCCTGCGCCATGCAGACTGACGAGCCCGAGGCCGCCGCTGCCGCGGCAGCGGCGCCTCCCAATGCCAGCACAGCCGCGGTGGGGCCTGGCCCTGCTGGGGATGGCGATGGCACGGTGGCTGCGCCGGAGAAGGTTGTACCCCTCTGGACGCTGCGTGCGGCTTACATCATGGCGGCAGCGGAGGCCATCCGAAACGTGCAGGCCGAGGCGGCGGCGGTACCGGAGAAGCACGCGCTGCGGGATGTGGCGGTGGACCAGTATGAGAAGCAGCTACTCAGCGAGGTGTGTGCAGCCTGCTGGCTAACGGCTGGTCAGCAAGTGCAGGAGGCAGGACGAGGAGCGGCACATGGCAGAGCCTGCATGCCCGCAGCTTGCCCAACCGGCCAGCCGAACCCTGCTGCCTCTACCCACCCTTGCCCGGCCCTGCTGCGACTTGTGATCAGCTGCGCACCTTCCTGCCTGCCTCCCGCGGCGCAGATCATCCCTCCCGAGGAGATTGCGGTCGGCTTTGACGACATCGGCGCGCTGGATGCGGTGAAGAGCACGCTGCACGAGGTGCGGCGCCGGTGGCAGCTGTGTCTGGCGGGGTGTGCTGAGCTGGATGCCCAGGTTGGGGCAGGAAAGGCGGGGTCTGCTGGGGCTGCTGCTGCATGCCAGTCGCGTGGATGCTGGTCTGCCTGCCTGCCTGTCTGCTGCCGGGGCCTGCCCGCCACCACAGCTCCTTCTGTTGTCCGTTTTGCAGGTCGTCATCCTGCCGCTGCAGCGCCCGGAGCTGTTCACCCGCGGCTCCCTCACCAAGCCCACCAAGGGTGAGCGCCGTGGGAGGCGCCTGCAGCCCGCGACCTGCCCAGCCAGCCCGGGCCTTGCCCCTCCTGCTGCCACCTGTGCTCCATCGGCGCTCCTGCGTATGCTAGCCAGCTCATCTCCACTCGTTCCCAGCTCCCGCCACCCCCTCTCGGTCACGCCTGTGCCCTGCAGGCGTGCTGCTGTTTGGGCCGCCCGGCACCGGCAAGACGATGCTGGCCAAGGCTGTGGCCAGCGAGAGCGGGGCGCACTTCATCAACTGCAACATGTCGGCCATCACCTCCAAGTGGTTTGGCGAGGGCGAGCGCCTCGTCAGGTGGGCGCGTGCTTGTGGCAGTTGTGTGGCGATGCGGTGGTGGGGTGGGCGCGTGGTTGTGGCAGTTGTGTGGTCATGCGGTGGCGGTGGTGGGGTGTGTGTGTTGCGCTCTGGGAAGAGGCGCCGCAGCGGCAGCACGGCGTTGAGGAGCTGTGGAGGATGGGAGGATCTGTGCGCGCTCTTGAGCAGTGCTGGTCAGTAAGGGCGAGCCCCACCGCTGCGTGCCCCCTGGGCTTCCCTCCAACCCCTGCACCCGCATCTCCCCGTGCGCCTGCCTCCCTGCAGGGCGCTCTTCGGCCTGGCCCACAAGCTGTCCCCCTCCGTCATCTTTGTGGATGAGATAGACTCCTTCCTGTCCAAGCGGGGCCAGTCCAACAGCGAGCACGAGGCGCTGCGCAAGATGAAGTAAGTGTGCGGCGCAGCGCATGCAGCCTTGGATGGTGCAACTGTAGTTCGGATCCATCAGCCGAGGCAGGACTGCATCTGGCAACCTCATTTCAGATCTGAGGGCACGCTGCCGCTTGTCTGCTGGCTGTCATGACACCCTGCCGCTGACCTGCGGTGCTGTGCTCCCCCTGCTGCTGTGCAGGAATGAGTTCATGACGGTGAGAAAAGCTGCCTGCCTCCCCATGCGGCGAGGGTTGTGTGTGTGCGTGTGTCACTGTTGCGTGTGTGTTGTGTGGCTGGCTGGTTTTACATTGACCCTGCTTTTGTCGCACAACCACACTCCTCTGCGCCCTTGCCTGCCACCCACCAGCCCCTTGCTTCCTCCACCTGCCAGCCGCTTGCTGCTGCCGCCGCCCACCCGCGCCGTCCTGCTGCCTCCTCCTGCCCGCTCCCTCCGCAGCACTGGGACGGCCTGCGCACCAAGCAGAGCGACCGCGTGCTGGTGCTGGCTGCCACCAACAGGCCCATGGACTTGGATGACGCGGTCATCCGCCGCATGCCGCGCCGCATCTTTGTGCCGCTGCCCGACACGCCCAACCGCGAGCGCATCCTGCAGGTGCGCCGTGCGGCCGGCTGCTCGCCCCCTGGCTGGCAGGCTCGCGGTGCTGTCGGCTCGGCGCTGCCCGTTGGCCTATCCCCTCAGGCTTGGCCCTCTGCCACTCGCCTGCCTGTCTCTACCGCCTGCCCCTTGGCCTGCCTGCCCCTCTGTATTTCCCCAGCCCCAGCTCCCTCCCTTCCCGGCCTGCTGCTCCTCACCGCTTGCTCCTCACCACCTTCCTCTGTATTCCTCCCTTGCACTCGATCACCCTGCTACTCCACGCAGGTGATCCTCAAGGACGAAGATCTGGACCCATCGTTTGACTTCAGCGAGGCCGCCGCCCTGGCCGACGGCTACAGCGGCAGCGACCTCAAGAATGTGTGCATCGCCGCGGCCTACTGCCCCATCCGGGAGTTTCTGGAGAAGGAGCGGGCGGCCATGGCGGCGGAGAAGGCGGCGGCGGCGGCGGGAGGAGGAGCGGCTCGTGCCGGCGCCGGCTCGCAGGCGCGCGCCGCGGCTGCGGCTGCGGCCGCGGCCGCGGCGGCTGCGGCGGCCACGGCGGCGGCCAGCTCGGCCACGCCCGCCGCGCTAGCGGCAGTGGCGGTGGCGGCGGCGGCGCCCGAGCCGGTGCGCCTTCGCCAGATGACCATCGCCGACTTCAAGGAGGCGCTCAAGCAGGTCACTGCCAGCACCAGCAACGAATCAGCGAGCATGGGCGACCTGAAGAGGTGCGGGCCAGCGGGAGGCCGCACGGCGGCTGGTGCTGCCGCTGTAGCAGGGGGCACACAAGATGAGGTAGTGCCTGGCCTCGCTGGCTGCCGTCCCGGGCAACCTGCCTCCGCTGCCAGTGGAGCCTACTGCGCAGGAACCCGCCCAACTCTCTCTCCCTTCCCCGTGCGGCGCAGGTGGAACGACCAGTACGGAGAGGGCGGCAGCGGCGCCAAGGAGCTTCTGTCCTACTTCATGTGAACGCCCGGGGCGCTTCTGGCGTTCCGTTGTTCGCCTGTGGCTCCGGGACCTGCCAGCCACGCTCAGCTGTCTCCGGGCCGACGCTCCGGGACCAGTGGCCCTCTTCTCTTCTGCAATCCAGGCTGACACCTCCTCACTTCCCGTGTCAGGCACCACTAGGCTTTCACCCCGCTTCCCATCTGCTCTGCTCGCTTCCCAGCTGTTTGCTCCCCTGCCCTTCCCATCTGATTGCCTGCTGCCCCGTCCCCCGCCGCCTCTCTGCTTCCTCCTGCCAGCCTGGCCCCGGCTCTTTGACATTCAGGGCCGGCCACAATGTTGTACACTAAATAGATTGCCGCGTATGAACATCTGCCGCTCACCATTCTGCCTGCCTGCTCGTGCCGAGCTGGCTGCGTGCCCGTGCATTGGGCATGCGCCGCCCCGCTCGCATCGTTCACACAGCTGCTGAGCCAGCTCATTGTAACTCACGCAGGCTTTCTATTTATCCTCATGGCGAGCAAGCAGGGTGACTCTGCGGTGGGCGGGGGAAGCGGCGGCAGTAAGGTGGCCCGCCTCAGCTTCTCAGGCAGTCTCTGTGCCCCCCATGTGACTGCCCCACGGGGCCGGCCCTCGTTCAAGCCAGGAAATCCTGCTAGAGACAATCTGAGGCCGAGTCCCCAAGGAATTCCTTGGCGGCTTGCGCGTGTGCACACGTAGCCTGTCCACCTGGCGGTCACACCGGGTGCACCCACACCGGCGGCAGGAGCAGCCAGCCTCCCCATCATCGCCATGTGCAGTGAGCCCTAAATGCCGCTGGTGCAGCGCTCACTGGTGCTGGTGGCGCTGCTACTGGCCTGCGTGAGCGGAGACCCGCAGGGCAGCGAGTCCGACCACGACGAGGACGTCGGTATGTGCTGGCGCAACCGATAGAGTGCTGCCTGCCACGCTGCGGGGCCGGGTGCCAGGACGCCGCCCGGCAGGCGGCGGCAGAATTTGCGGGGGCTCCCAGCAGAGACAGAGGCTCCTGCCCACAGGCAGCATCCGCAGCGTGCAAGAAGCAGCAGTTGGGGACACGAGCAGCGGAACGGATCAAGCTGCAGGCAGCCCCCCGGGCTGGGAGCAGTGTGTGACCACCGCACCAGGCTTGCGGGCCGCGCTGGCCGCGTCGCCCACCGTACTGACGCCCATGCCATGCTGCTGCCTCTCGTCCCTGGGCTGCAGACCAGCGCCAGCTGCTGCTAGACTTCAAGGCGGGAATATCAAACTGGGATGCGGTGGCCGCATCCCGCCGCCTGGCTGGCTGGTCGCCCTGCACGCTAGGTGGCGAGTGCGTGCCGGTGTGCCGCTGGGGCGGCATACTGTGCGACCCTTATGAGTACCCGGCAGCCAACCAGGTCACCACGCTGTGAGCGACGCCGCCGAGGCCGCCGCCGCTGGCGCCTGCGCTGCCGCTTGGCGTTTGCGCTGCGCGGCTGCTCTCCGCTCGCATGCATCCAGTCGGCGCGCTGCAGCGTGGCGCTCCCCTCCTTTCATATAGCCTGTTTCCGCGCTGGCCCCGCGTGTGCTGCAGAGACCTGGGATGTAGCGAGGCGGGGTGCGAGGTGGCGATGCAGGGCGTCCTCAGCGCCAGCCTGGCCTCGCTGCCGCACCTGCAGACACTGGACCTGGTCAACAACAACCTGTCCGGGACGCTGCCGCCAGAGTGGGGCCTGCCGGGGGCCTTCCACGACCTGCAGATCCTGTGAGCCTGGGGAGAAAGAAAATCTGTGCTGGGAAATAACAAATAACCTGCCTTGGAGCGGCCGACGCCAAGCAGGCTGCCGCATGGGGTAGTGCGCATGGCTGGGGGATGGGAGCGCAGGCGTGCGTGCTCGCTTCCCGTGGCTGCGCTCACCGCGCCGCGCACCCGCCCGCGCGCCCGCGCGCCTGTCTGCCAACGCAGGCGGCTGAACGGCAACCGCTTCAGCGGGCGCATACCGGAGCAGTGGGCCGTGGGGCCGGCCTTCCTGCGCCTGGTAGACTTCCAGCTGGCGGGCAACCTGCTGACGGGTCCCTTCCCCGCCGTCGCCTACACCAACACCTCCTTCATGCTCATGCAGGCCTTGTGAGCTGCCCGGCCCTGCCGCGCCTGCTGCTCCTCGCCTGCTTCTCCCCGCCTGCTGCTCCCCATGTGCTTGCCCCCGCTACTGCCGCAGCGGATGCCAGCGCGGGGTTGCCGGGCATGCCGACGGGCGCATGCTCAGCAGAGGCAGGGTCGTCCGGCCGCCGACTTGGCTGCGCCCCGTCCCCGCCTCCCTCCCGCCTGCAGCAACATCGGCAACAACCAGATGACGGGGCCGCTGCCCGAGTTTTGGAACGGGCTCATCATCCTGTCCCTGGTGTCCATTGCAAACAACCGCTTCACAGGCACGCTGCCGCCCGACTGGGGCCGCCAGGGCTACTTCTTCAACGGAACCTACAACGACACGCAGGCGCTCCAGTTCCTGTGAGTGTGTGGTGCGGCGACCGCGCCGCGTGGCACAAGTGCTGGCAGATGGCGGGCGGAGAGGGCCAGGGGTGCCGGGGAGGAGGCCCCCCGGTGCGGTCCAAGGCGCGGCTAGCCCGCCGCAGGCCGGGCACTGGCAGCTGCCGCCCTCTCGCCGAGCCCTTGCTCTTCCTTCCTCGCCGGGCCCATACACCACGCGCCGCCCGCAGGTACCTGCACGGCAACCAGCTGACGGGCGGGCTGCCGGCGGCCTGGGCTGGCGCCGAGTCGTTCTCGGTGCTGCGGGAGCTCACGCTATCTGAAAACCTGCTGGGCGGCACGCTCCCCATGGAGTGGGGCCTCGGCCCGGATGCCATGCCCGCCCTGCGCGCCGTCAACCTGTCCCTCACCGGCCTCACCGGCACGCTGCCGGAGCAGTGGGGCGCTTACGGCGGGCTGGCGAGCCTGGAGAGGCTGTGAGTGGCAGTGGCGGCGGTGCCTGTGCCTGCCCACATGCGTGCCCGCCTGCTTGTCATGAAGTGCGCCCACCACCTCCCATCCGTGCCCAGCAGGCGGCGCTTGCTTTCGCTTCCGCATCCGCCGCACGAGCGGCCTGCCTTGGTGCTCACGCGCTGCCACTGGATCCGGCCTGCCTGCCCGCAGGAACGTGGCCGGCAACAACCTGAGCGGGGCCGTGCCGGCGAGCTGGTCGCAGCAGCTGCCCAGCCTGCAGCGTGTCACCCTGCAGCCCGGCAACCCAGGTCTGTGCACAGAGGAGCCAGCCGGAGCCAGCTTTCGGCTGTGCAGCGAGGGGGATGTGATGTGCTACCGCGCGCTGGTCACCTCCACCAACGCCAGCGCGTGCAGCAATAGCAGCGGCGAGTTCTATAGCGGCAGCGGGAACAGCACCAGCGACAGCGGCAGCGGCTCCAGCTTCCCCGTGGTGGCGGTGGCTGTGCCGCTGGCGGTGGTGGGCACGGTGCTGCTCGCGCTGGCTGCCTTCCTGCTGTGGCGCCGCCGCCAGAAACAGCAGGCGCGGCAGGCCGCGCTGGCGCTGCCGCAGCAGCGCCAGCTGACCCAGCGGACCAGCATGCCCAGCAAGCCGCCCTCCGAGCTGCAAGAGGAGCTCAGCCTGGCGATCGGAAGCGTCCTGCCCGACGGCAAGGCTCCGCCGCCGCCCCCGCCGTTTGGCGCCGCCCCCGCGGGCACAGCCGCGGCAGCGGCTCCTGCAGCGGTGGTGCCGCTGGAGGCCAGCAGTCGCCCACGCAGCTTCGCCACCGGCGTGTTTTGCTTACCCTGCGCCGGCCGCCGATCCACAGACGGAGGGACGGTGGGTAGCGGCTCGTACCGGGCTGCTTGCCCAGCCGCCGTGCCCGCGGTGCAGCGCTCGCCACAGAGCAGCCGGCGGCTCCCTCACCCTCCCTCGTCCTGCCGTTTCTCCTCCCTGCAGCAGCTGGAGGGGTTGCCGTCAAATAAAACGGCGGCGTCTGCCAACGCGCGCAACTCATTACACATCTGGCTGCCGCAGGCAGCCTCCGGGGCGGGGAGCAGCGCGCGGCCGTCGCCCACGCCGGGGTCTGGGGGCCGGCAGGCGCAGACGCCGGATCAGCAGCAGGCTGCCGTGGAGCTGTCGCCCCTGCAGCAGTACCAGCAGCAGCAGGCGCAGCAGCCCGTGGCGCTGTCGCCCATGGCGCAGTACCAGCAGCAGGCGGCCCAGTTCTACTCGGCGCCGCTGTCGCCCATGGCGCAGTACGAGCAGCAGCAGGCGCAGTTCTACTCGGCGCCGCTGATGCCCTCGAGCCACCTGCCGCGGCAGTCGCCGCAGCTGCAGCACAGCTCCAGCGGGCGCAGCGGGCGCAGCGGCGGGCACTCCAGTGGCGGGCCGCCGGGCAGCCTGCCTCGAGGGCACTCCCTGGGCCACGACTCGAGCGGCGCGCCTGTGAGCGGCGGCTCCGGCGGCGGCATCGGCGCCGCCACCGGCGCCGCCTACCACTCCAGCTTTGGGCCGCGAGAGCTGGAGGTGCTCATGAGAGACTGGGACATCCCGGCAGAGTGTGCGTAGGGGTGGCGGCGGTGTGCGTGCTTGGGTTCTGCGCCTGGCGCACAAGTGTGTGTGCAAGTCTGCGTGCGGGGTTTATAGCCCCATGGGGTGCTGGCCTAGTGGCAGCGGGTTGGGCGAGGGGACAGGCTTGGGGGGTGCTTGCGGCGAGCCTCGGCAGCTGCTTACAACCCTAAAACCTGCGCCCTGCCGCGCAGCCATCCACATCTGCAAGCGGCCCGACGGCTCCGATTGGCGCATCGGGTCGGGAGGCTTCGGCACGGTGCGGCGGGGTGGAGTGCCTGCATACGCTTTAGCCTGCCTGCTTGCCTTGAGTCGAGCGCTGTTTGAGCAGGACGTGCCGGCTTGGCCTGGCCGTGTCCTGCTGCTGGCTCGCGCTGCTGCCTGGCTGGCATGGCGGCTCAGCATAGCCGGCCTCGCCGGGCGCTGCCGGCACCGCCAGGTGCCGCGCGTGGGCGGGCCTGCCGGCTGCCGACTGGCTGGTGGCCTTCTGCTGCGTGTGGCTGGCGCAGGTGTTCAAAGCCATGCGCAACGGTGTGCAGCCTGTGGCAGTCAAAGTCATCATGGGGGTGAGACCATATGCCTGCAGATGGATGCAGCAACGTGCCCACGCCTGCCCCCTGTCTTGCTCGCACAATCCCCCTTCCGCTTTGCCATCTCCACTCCACCTGTGCCTTCCTGCCGCCCCCTGACCCACACCCGTCCCTTCCTCCTGGCTCTCCCCGCCCCATCCCGCCCCTGCAGGGCATGAGCGACGCCCAGAACATGATGAGCGACGAAGACTTTGCCCGCGAGGTGTCCATCCTGCGCACCTGCCGCGACACCAACATACTCCAGTTCCAGGTGCGCGTGCTGGCGTGTGGTTGGATGCTTCTCGTGTGCTCCAGGCTCCAGGCAGAGCCGGGCGGCTCGCCTGCCCCCGCCTGCACCTGCCCGCCCGCTCACCCCTCCTCCTCCTCCTCCTCCGTAGGGAGTGTGCTTCCAGCCGAACCGCACGCTGCTGGTGACGGAATACATGGAGGGAGGCAACCTGGCGGGCAACTTGCGGGCCAAGACGGTGTCGTGGTACCGGCGCGGGAAGAAGGTGGGCGGGCACGGGGCGTCCGAGTGTGGTGTGTTTCGGTGTGTGTGGTATGTGCACATGTGTGCCGGGTAGCCTGTAGTTAAGCGTGTGGGATGGGGTGTGTGGTGCAGTGTGCACGCTTGGTTGGGGGAGGGTGGAGACCGGCTGTGCAGCGTGCCGCCGAGCGCGCGCGCGTCGCCCAGTCCACGCCGCCCCGGCTGCGCCCCTGCACCTGCCGCAGGTTGCCATCGACGTGGCTCGTGCCCTGGTCTACCTTCACTCCAGACGCATCCTGCACCTTGACATTAAGAGTGCGAACGTTCTGCTGACCAGGTGTGTATGTGTGCGGGTGGGTGGTGAGGGCAGGCACGCGCTAGCAATGCCGCATCGCGCCCAGCAGCTCCCAGGCAGCGGTCTGCGCTTTCCTCCCTCTCGGCGCCACGCCTGGCCCAATGCTGCGCCGTGCTGTGCTGCAGGGATGGTACCGCCAAGGTTGGGGACGTTGGTATGGCCAAGATCATGGCGGGGGAGTATGTGAGCGGTACCGTCGGCACGCTGGCCTGGTGAGGGGGATTGGTGGGTGGGTGGCTGGTGGCGGATATTGAGGGGCTGCTCTTTCGAGTGCTGGGGCTGCCTGTGGGCCCAGAAGCCTGCCCAGGCAAAACGTAAGTGACCCGTCCTGCTCTGCGCCGCTGCTCGCCGCGATGCGCTCTCTCCGCTCCGGCTTGGGCGTGAGGAGGGAGGCGCTCCCACCCACCCGGCCCGGCGTGTCGCCTCCCCTTCCCTCCTACTCCCGCAGGTCTGCGCCTGAGCTGCTGCTGGGGCAGCGGTGCGACGCCAAGGCTGACGTGTATTCGTTTGGGGGTGAGCTGCCTGCGCTGCTCGCTTGCCTGCCACCCGCTTCTTGCAGGCTCCAGCTTGCCGCTGGCAGGCTGGCAGGTAGGCTGCACACTCTGCGCGCTGACCCTTGTGCCGTCCCTGTGGATGCCGCCACCCTGACCACACTCACACACTGTTGCTGCAGTGCTGCTGTGGGAGATTGTGAGCGGGGAAGTTCCCATCCGGGGCCAGCTGCGTGACCCGATGTGAGCAGCACAGCAGCAGAAGAGGGGCGGCCCTCGCGCCAGAAGCCCTGCTCTTGCCTGCCTGCCTGCCGCCTGCCGCCTGCCCTCGCGCCCCACCTGCTGCTGCCGGCGGCCGGCAGCCTCTGCGCCGCCGCCGTCCTGCCGATCGCTGCTTCCTTCCCACAGCCCACCCTGCGGCGCTTGCCCTGCCCTCCTCTCCTTCAGAGTCCCGGATGAGTGCCCTCCCGAGGTGTCTGCCCTCATCGACCGCTGCTTGTCCCACGATCCCTCCGAGCGCCCCACCTCCACAGAGCTTGTGGAGCAGCTGCAGCGGTGCCCCGCGGTGGCGCCCGGCGGCGCCGCCTCGCTGCCGCGCCGCTCGCCCAACCCCGGCCTCGCCTCGGCCGCCAGCGGCGGCTTTGGCCTGCTGGGCACGCTGCCGCTGCGTGGGGTGGACTCTGCGGCCAGCCTGGCGCCCTCGCCCGCCTCCCGCGCAGCATCCCTGGACGGCGGCGCCCCGCCGCTGCGCACCGCCAGCGCCAGCAGCGGCGGCGGCCTGCCGCCGCTGCCGGAGCAGGCGCCGGCGGGGGAGCAGGAGGCGCAGGCGCCGGCATCGGGCGGCAGCAGCGTGGACATGCGGGGGCCGTTTGCCGCGGTGCAGCACCTGATGCGGCAGTTCAGCGGGCCGCAGGCAGATGGGCCTCAGTCGGGCGCCGCCGCCGCGCCTTCGGACCCAGCAAGCGGCGCCGCGGGAGCCGGCCCCGTCGGCGAGGGGGCACCGGGCACGGGGCGGCCGCTGGGGCGCCCGCCGCGGCAGCCCAGCACCGACTGAAGAGAGGGTGCCCCTGTGGCGGTGCTGGTTACCAGCGGCGGCGAAGCTCAGCCACAGCCAGGGCTTGTGTTAGTAGCAGTACCTACATCTGTGCCAGCCGGCGCGCTATTGATTGCCTGTTGAGCCCGCGGTCGGCACTGCCCCCACCCTGCTGCCGCCCACCGAGGGCTGCTGCTGGGTGACAGGATTCCACCTGCATCCAGAGGATCAGCCTCTGCTGTCCTTGAATACCTTCTCCTGCTTGTATTGTTTTCCGACCTCCTACTGGGCAGGCACTGGCAGGCGCAGCTGTCTGCCTCTGCCCCGCCGCCTCTCCTACTTTAAGCAATGCCATTGACACCTTGAATCCTCTTGTTCTTTTGCGTACTCCTCCCCTCCAAACTCCCTCTTCACTTTCGCCCGCTCCCGTGCTCGGCCAGCTGCGATGGATCCAGGCACGCCCCCTCTGTCCCCCTCCCTTTCTTTCTACCTCCACACCGCCTCCTCCCCCTTCACCTCCACCCATCTTTTCAGCAATGTGCCCCTACTGTTGTACGAGCTGTGAGTACAGGTGCAACACCGACCATGCCCACCAGGAGCGCTGACAACTTCATCCAAACAACGACACTTGAAAGCCGGAATGTCCGAGCTGCGCAGGACAACCACAAGTTGATTGTTGCCAGCCCAGCAGGCACAGCCGCTCCGCATGTGATGCTGCCATATGATGCTGCCATATGGTGCTGCTGCCATGGCGGCCCGCAGCGCCTCTCCATCTGGCCCACCCGCCTCAGGCCTCTTGCCAGACCTTGGCGCACCGGGTGCAGCGGAAGTATGTGGTGGCTGGCTCGTCGGCGGACCGATTCTGCAGTGGCAGCATGGCGGGCGAGGGTGCAAGGCAATGGCGGCTGCGGGGCGGCTGCGGCGGGTGGCGCTGCCAGCCAGCCCCCGTGAGGCCGGTTCCCCTCCCGGCGTAAGCAGTTGGCCCTGCAGTCTGCCATGCAGGACAGCTAGGCCTGGGCATGTAGCTTCTCAGCGGGCCCGGGCTGCCAGCCCCAGACCTGCACTTGCTGGTAGAAAGCCACATTGTGTCCGCACTCGGAGCAACGCGTGTGCTCTGTGCGGGGCGCGCTTCTCCACTCAGCCTCTCCACCCAGCACCGGCTCAATCTTCTTCGTCTTTTGACTGAGAGGGACGCGGATGGAGATCTGGAGGGAAGGGCAGGCAGCGGAGGGGTACGATAGGCAAGGCAAGGCAGCCTTGGACTGAAGCGCCTGCGAGTGGCGGCCAGCAGGCGGCGGGCGGCGGGCGGGGCGTTGTTTTGCTAGCTGCGCTCCTCCCAGCGCGGCTCCTCTTGCCTGCTGGTCCAGGAAGTACATGTAGGGGCAGGTCTGCGCACAAGGAGCGAGCAGCAGGTGTGAAGGAGCGGGCAGCAAGTTTTGGGCGCTGCCAGTGAGCTCCGGGGGAGTGCCAGCCCTGCTGCTGCTGTTGCTGTTGCTGCAGCTGCCTCCCTGATGCTTGCCTTGCACACGACATGAAGAACTCGCTCTGCCGCCCGCCCTCCTCCAGCTCCAGCATGTTGCCGCACGTGGGGCAGAACAGCAGAGCCATTGGCGGCAACCGAAGGATGCGCGCAGCACTGAGCTGGAGGGCAGCGCCGGTGGGTGCCTGCCAGGCAGTGCCCTGCCTCATCCTTTCCACCCTACTGCTTTCCACCCTACTGCTTTCCAGCTTTCCTTCTCTAAATGCAAGGTTGACATCACACATATCGGTTCAATCTATAAGTAATATATAAGCCAGCAGCTTATAAGCGCACATACTACACAGGCATGTCCACCAGGGCGACGCCCCGGTGCCCGGTGCCGAACGCCTCCGAGGCGACCACGGTTGTCGGCGACGGCGGCGCGGTGCTGCCCACGGTGTCGGCATACATCAGGATTGCGCCAGCTGTGGTAATCACAAAGACCTCAGCCGCGCCGCCTGCGACGCCCCGCGCGGCCAGGCCCCGGCAGCATGGTGTCGAGGACAAGGGCCACACCCGGCTCCACCCGGTGCCGTCGAAAATGTACTTGGCCAGCCCCGCTGCCTCGTCGCAGAGGTACAGCGTGTCGAGGCCAGCCACCGCCTCTTGCAGGTCCAGCAGCGCAAAGCCGTAGGGGCTGCCGGGGACGGTGGAGATGAAGGGCAGGGGGATGGTGGTCTGGGTGCTGCCGCTCTACGTCGGCAGGCCGGTACCCAACAGGCATACGCGGCCGCCGCCGCAGCCCTGCACAGGACTGAGGCGGGCGATAGAGGTGGCGTAGAGATGGCCGCCATAGATGCCAGCCACCCTGAGGCCGGTGGTGGAGGAGAGCGCCGTGGGGGAGGTGTTGGCCAGAGGGGCGTAGGTCATGCCGTTGCTGGCAGACACCCAGAAAGCCGAGCCGTCGACCGTGGCGGCGCTGCGCACGGTGGTGCCCACCCCAACGGCCGTGCTGCTGTCAACCGACAGCACAGGGTCTGTGCCGATGGTGCCGATGCGGGCGGCCACCCTGAGGGTGGTGCTGTCAAGGGAGGACCCTCCTTGCTGCCTCACCAGACCCAAGGCACCGGCCGTCGGCGGAGGTGGAGAGGCCGGCCAAGGCAGCGTTGCCAGCCAGGGTCAGCGGCATGTTCTGTCCGCTGGCCTCCATGGGGAGGGCTACCATTTGCAGCAGCTCGCCCGTCCCCGGCACGTACAGGTCGACAAAGGCGGCTGTGGCTAAGTCGGTGAGTTCGGCGCCGCCGTTGCCCACGCGCAGCACGGCCAGCAGGGTTTGGACCACCTGCGCATGCGTGGCAGGAAGGGGATCGACAGGCGGGGGCCTCCGCCCACAGGCAGGCACGCATGGCTGCCGGCGGCATCGCGCTTGCTTGTGTGCTACTTAAGCAGGCTTGAAACCGCGCCGCCGCAGCCCTGCCAGGCCCTGCCAGCAGGCGCTGCCCAGCAGCCTGCAAGTGCGCTTACAGGGGGTGGCGGTGGGCTGGGTGGCGGCGGGCTGGGTGGCGAAGGCAAGGGCGGAGACGGAGGAGGGCTGGGTGGCAGCGGGCTAGGCGGTCGAGGAGAACAGGGTCGCGGGCTGGGGGGTCGAGGGTGTGGTGGGGATGGAGAGGGAGGAAGTGGTGGCAGCGGGCTGCAGACAGGATTGCCAGTGGCAGACAGGATTTCAGCCATCCGGCGCCGACAGGTCCCCTCCGATGGTATGGCACGCATGCGGCCTCTTGGGCAGTGCGTGGATGCTAGCTGCTGTCGGCTAGCCGGCCCGACAGATCAGAGGGCAGGGGGGGTTCTTGGTGGCTGTGTGTTCCCTTGGAAGGCTGCCAGCTGCTGTCTTTGCCCTGCACCTGGGTGGCCTGGGGGAAGGCGATGGTGGGGGCCTGGGGGACGGCGGTGGTGAGGGCCTGGGGGAGGTTGGAGGAGGGGGTTTTCGAGGACGAGGCTTGGCAGAGGATTGGGGTTCGGAGGACGGGGCTTTGGCGGCGGTTTGGGTGGCGGCGGTCTTGGGGGCGGGCGAGGGCTGGGCGGGGTGGGTGGTGGCTTAGGGGATTTTATAGCGCGGACGAGGTGGACGTTGACTTCGGCGGCTTGGGGGAGGGCGGAGAGGGCGGTCTCGGAGGCGGTCTGGGTCTTGGTGGCGGACGGGGACGAGGTGGTTTAGGACTTGGAGGTGAGGCTGTGGCTGCGGCAGCCACGCTGGCATCGCCCGATCCAGCTCCAGGCGGCGCGTCTTGCGCTCCGGCGACTGCAGCGGCGGCGCAGCGGTGGCGGCGGAGGTGGGTCTTGTTACAGTCACCCCGCCATGATAGGCCGCGTGAGCAGACCTTGGGCAGGGGGCACATGTGATCAAGGGGCATCAAGAGAGGTGGGGTTGAGCAGACGAGCGGCAGAGGAGGTTTGGGAGCAGGCTGGAGCAAGCAACTGTATATCCCGCGATAGCCTCCCTCTCACCAATTGTGAGGCAGAGCACCAGTGACAGGACAGCCGCGGTGCTGAGGCGGAGTGGTGCGGCTAGGCGCCCCTGCCTGCGCCCGGAGGCGGCGCCCACTGGGGGGAAACTGACGACCTTGCCGCTGCCTGCCCCCGCATAACTGTCGGGAGTGAGCCACGCCCTGAAAGCTAGAGACCCCTGAACGCCCTGCAAACTAGGGCAAGCTTTCCATGGAGGCATGGAGGATACAACCGCTGCTCTCGGGCGAAGTTTTCCTTGCAAAAGAGGCGCGGAGAATAAAACGGGCAGTCTGTACGCAGTAGGCGCCAGCGGTGGCCGGCAACTTGTCCTGCAAGGCGGGACAGTCAGGAACTGCGGCGCTGGCGTCGCCGCCAGCTGCACTGATGCAGATGGGGATGGTTGCTGCTGACAGACTGAAGCAACAGCGAGACCACGGATGTACTCAGAAATTCCCCTGCCGCGACAGTAATGCCCTTCCGAGGGCATGGTTGATGAGGCGGCGAACCAGCGGCCCGCCGGGCGGCAGCCTGCCCTGAGGGCGCAAGGCCCTAACTGGCACATCTGCGGCACAAGCCTTACCCAAGCAATGTAAGGCGTCCAAGTTCTCTACAACGTTGTTAATCCCTTATCAACTTGAGAGGATGGCATCACGGGACACAAGTGACAGACATCCGCAGAAGCTGCCGCATGTCACCTGCCGCAACTGTGGCGAGGGCAGCGGACCCTGCGCCATCTGTCCCTCCCAGTGCTGACAAGCAGAGAGAACGAGACCGCAGTTACCCACCTGTGGGTGCAGCTGCTGCTGCAGGTCATTGGAACTGGCTTCATGGAATAGGCGACGGCGTGCTCCGGCTCAGCCGCCCATCAGCCGGCGGGTCGTCGGCAAGTCACATGCCTGTGCATCCAGCACTGCAATGCGCGCTCTTTTCTGCTGGCAGTGTACATCTTGGGCCTGGGTAGTTGTGTAGTGGCAGCATCGGCTCTGTTACCAGCGCAGGGTGCTGCCTGGGTGCTGCCAGCAGCCCTGTGCCACGTTGTGACAGCAGAACAGCTCCCCTGCCACCCCAATTCCCAATTCCCAACCCACAAATTTCACTTTTTCGAACGATCGAATCAATCAAAGCGCGCCCGCGGATATTCAAACAGCCTGCAGATATTTTCATATCAGCAGACTGACTTTTCACCCACCTGTCACAGATTTTCCCTCGCCCGTTCGGTTTTTTGCCGACAGCTGGCTAGCAGCCAGACTATATAAGGAGCCTCGATGCCCTGGCAAGATCATCTTTTCTCTCCCTTTGTGCTGGAGTGCCCCTGTGTAATAACAGGCGCCCGCCGCCCCAGCCCCGCCCGAAGGAGAAGGATCCTGCCGCTGCGACCAGCGCTCGGCAGTCACCCCAGCGCTCTCACGAGGCTCCCCGCTCTCACACAAAGACAAAACAGGCCGGCCGGAACCTTCTGGACCCGCGCCGCCTTTTTGCTGGCGCCGAATCGGGGAAAGTGCGTGGTTGCTGTGCCCTGCACGACCCCAAAGTAACCGTGTGAAGCGATCAGGACGCCCTCCGAGCTCTTCCGAGACAGCGCCGCCACCACATGCCTACCACCGCACCCTCAGCAGAAGCGCGGGCGCCCTGCCAACCCACGTTCAACATGCAGGTGGCTGTCTCAAAGTTCTCCGGTTCTGCAAAGGAGAATCCAGAGACCTTCATCCGCACGGTTGAGAGCGCGAAGGGCCTCTACAGCTGGGGCGACGCCCAGGCCATGGCGTTCGCCGGCCTCCATCTGAAAGGGAAGGCGCTGGACTGGTACAACATTCAGGAGCCCATGACTTGGCTCCGCTTCAAGAAAGCTTTGATTGGACGTTTTGGACTGGAGCCCAGCAGGATGCTGGCAGCCCTGACCAAGCGGGTGCAGGGAGAGAAGGAGAGTGTGCGTGACTACGCCGACGCGCTGTGCACCCTCGTGCGGCACTCCCAGGACCCCAATCTACAGTCCACCTTGCGGCACTTCTTCATGAGTGGTCTGAGAGAGGACGTGCAGAGATTTGTGAAGACTCGCCGTCCTGAGACCTTTGAAGCAGCAGTGGCCGAAGGGGAGTATTTTGAGGACACGTTCCTTGGCGGAGTTGCTGCCGCCGTCAGCGGGCACCCGTCCGCGTGGGGCAAGGAGGCCCCCGCCACACCTATCCTTCCAACTGCCACACCTGCCAAGGTGCTACGTAACAGCACCAATGATCCAGTCGACTCAATCACCCGGAAGCTTGAGAAGTTGAGTTTGCTGGTCCACGACCTGCGCCTCTACCTGGCTGCTGACAGCCAGCCCGACGACCGCCCCGCCAACACCTGGGAGGCTACCGCGAGGCCCTCTGTGGCTCGGGCCTACCTGGCAGAGGATGCTGACGAGTGATGAGGGTGAGGCAGAGGTACAAGCGGTTGCAAGAGGTGGCGATGCTAGCGGCACTGAGCCATTCGCCGCCGCCGCTAAGTGCATTGCTGGTGAGGGCACCAGCTTCGTTTGGTGGGGGGAACCACAGCTGTGACAGCAGAACAGCTCCCCTGCCACCCCAATTCCCAATTCCCAACCCACAAATTTTACTTTTTCGAACGATCGAATCAATCAAAGCGCGCCCGCGGATATTCAAACAGCCTGCAGATATTTTCATATCAGCAGACTGACTTTTCACCCACCTGTCACAGATTTTCCCTCGCCCGTTCGGTTTTTTGCCGACAGCTGGCTAGCAGCCAGACTATATAAGGAGCCTCGATGCCCTGGCAAGATCATCTTTTCTCTCCCTTTGTGCTGGAGTGCCCCTGTGTAATAACAGGCGCCCGCCGCCCCAGCCCCGCCCGAAGGAGAAGGATCCTGCCGCTGCGACCAGCGCTCGGCAGTCACCCCAGCGCTCTCACGAGGCTCCCCGCTCTCACACAAAGACAAAACAGGCCGGCCGGAACCTTCTGGACCCGCGCCGCCTTTTTGCACCACACACGTGCAGCGACTGCGGGGCAGATCGGGCACTTGATAGGCGGGGGACGGCTCGTAATTGCACACACACATGGAAAACAATGAAGGTGCATCAGGAAAGTCAGAAGTTCTGCAGCAAAGTCATTGGCTCCGTATATCTGGACCCCCTTGGATGGACGTCGTGAGCGGCGTGCGGCGCGCGGCCGGCATCTGCGGCGCTCTCAGCCTGGCAACAATTTGCCATTCTAGCCGTATCATGTGTTCACTGCCCCCACGCCAGACTGCATGTCCCCTCTAGTCCATACTCTTTGGAGCTCCACGATGTGGATTGACGAACAGGGCGCATCCGGGTGTCCTCCTCCAGACCGGAGCAGCCAGGTGCTATATCACGGGAGGTATCACGTGTTTTCAGCGGGGGTGGCGGCGCTCCGAGGAACCGATGTAACCCTGACACGCACAGTACACTTCAGGGGTGTCGAGCAGTCTTCAGAGGGAAGGAGGGCATGCATGGCCATATCACTGCCCAGCTTCAGGGAAGCTGCACTGTGCACCGGGCACGATGACCGGAAGGGCCCTTCCGATGACATGCATACATGCACAGCCATCTACAAGTCGTCCCAACCCTCTGACATATCCCCACCTCTTGTAGCCAGCCCTTGTAGCCAGCCCGGCGCAGCCGGTTTGTCTCGCCGACTCGCCGAACGACTTCGTGTCCTCTCCAAGGCGCCCCAAGCGCCCCAATTTGCCGATCTGTGGCGCTCCTACAACTTGAATGCGTAAACATCGCGGCTGCAGCGTCGCCTTGGCGGCCCTGGCACCGCTCATCCTCTGCCTCCTAGCTCCTGCGCACGCCAGAGGCGCCCGCGGGCTGCCCGGCGACCGTGTGCAGATCCTTAAAGGTGGGGTAGGGCTGGAAGCAGGGGGCGCAGCGGGGGGAGGAGCAGCGCGGAGTCACACTCGTGTGGCTGCTGCATAGCCAACTCCTGCGGCACTTGCACCAACCGAGAGCCTTGTGGTTGCAGGTCGGGCCGTCCTCCTGTCCTTCGACACGCCCGGGAGGCCCAGCACCAGGTGTTTGCGAGCGCAGAGCAGCCTGTGACGCGCTAACTGCGTGGGCCGCTGCTTTGGGGGTGGGACGCCGCACGCGCCGCACGCCGCTTGCAATCCCGCTCATCTTGCCCCGCACGCATCTGCCTGCCCGCAGGACATTGGCTGTCCGCACGCAGAAGGGCCGCCTGGTGCAGATCACCACGTCTGGCGACCGAGAGCTGCCTGTAGCCACCGGCACACCGCTTGAAGTGCGCGGCACGTGGCAGGGAGGCAGCAGCGCCGGCGAAGCCGCCGTAGCCGCCGCTGCCAGCACCGCCACCGCCAGCAGGGCAATGGGCAGCACCAGCAGCTTCCGCGCCAGCAGCGTGCGGGCTACGGCGCAGCTACGGCCGCGCCACCACCGCCCCTCGGTGACCCGCACCGCCGCCCGCGGCAGCGCCAGCAGCGTGCCACCGCCCCTGCCCCGCATCAGCAACCCAGTGGTGGAGAAGGATATTAGCACCATTTTCATCCCCAGTGAGTTCAACTGTCATGCAATGGGATGTCTTTTGTTTTTTAATAAGAGCTTGCCCTCCTGATGGCGCCCTCCAGCCTGCCCCCTCATACTGCTGCAGTCGCAGCAGTGGTGAACCCCGCCAGCCAGGCCAGCACCCTCTGCCCCGGCAGCTCGCAGCCCATGCTGACCGCCGCGCAACTGGCGCGCGTCGTGTTTGCCGAGCAGAACCAGGCAAACGCCACCGTGGGCTCCATCTTTGGCACCTGCTCCTTTGGCAAGAGCCAGCTCACGCAGGGCAACAGCCGAGTGGCGGACCTGGTGCGCCTCCCCTGCACCGACAGCAGGTGAGGGCTGTGGGGAGGGATGCGGGGCTGGGAGCCGGGCAGCATGTGACTGCCAAGCCTGCGTTCCTCTCCTCCTGGCGCACGCGCCGGCAGGGCATGCGATGGCCAGGCATCGCACTCTGTGCTGCTTGCTCCCGCCGGCTGTGCTCCCTGCCACCCGGGCACAAGCACCTACCCAGCCACTGACGCCACGCACTCTTGTGCCCCCCTGCACTTTCCTCCTGCAGCGCTGGCATCCCCTGGAGCTTCGCCAGCTGCCAGATAGATGACATCAGCGGCCTGGCAGACGCTGCCGACGCTGTGCTGCGGGCCAGGGGTGTGCCGCTCGAAAAGTACAAGCACCGTGTGTACCTGCTGCCGCCGGCCGGCCCGTCTGGATGCTCCTTTGGCGGGGTGAGCCTTGCAGCTGGGCCTGGTGGCAGGCCTCATGCTACTGCTGCGCTGGTGCTGTGCTGGCGAGGCAGTGGGCTGGCTGGTGCCGCACAAGTCGTGCGTGCCGCTGACGTTCCTTGACCTTGCGTCGCGGGTCTACCCCACCCCCGGTTGCAGGTCGGGTACATCGACTGCGGCAGCGACATGTCGTTCGAGTGCCGCTCCTGGATCGGTGCGGGCTTCTGGGGAGTGCCGCAGGTGCTGGCCCACGAGCTGGCTCACAACCTGGGCCTGGAGCACTCCGGCTCGCAGAACGCCGCGGGGCAGTACGACCAGTACGGCGATGGCAGCAGCCTCATGGGCGCCTGCTGCTCGGCACGCTGCCCCAGCACGCCCCAGGCCTGGCAGCTGGGCTGGCTCAACCTGGCGCAGCTGGACGGCAGCCGGCTGGCCGCGGGGAAGACGCGGCGTGTGGCGTTGGCCAGCCAGGACTCGTCACCAGACAGCGGGCTGAGGGTGCAGGCGGACTGGGCGCCGGGCGTCCTGCCGCTGTTCCTGGGATACCGCAAGCAGGCGGGCGGCGATGGTGGCATGGATGGCTCGCTAGGCAGCAAGGTGCACGTGTACCGAGCCGACATGGGGCCCCGCACCGCCAGCAGCCCCTGGATGCCTGCCCACACGGCCTGGCTAACTGCGCTAGCTGGTGAGCTGGCGCCCGGGAGGCAGGAGGGCAAGGAGGCCGGCAGCTGCAGCCGCCAGCTGGGCCGGTGCTGGCGCATTTTGAGGCCCGGGCTGCCCTTTGGTCCCGCATCTCTGCAAGCCGCTGGCTGCACTGCTGCACTGCATGACACCCTCCCCCGTCCCCGCCCATGCGATGCAGTCGGAGAGAGCTGGGAGGACCCACCCACCGGCCTGGTCGTCAGCGTGGACAGTGCAGCGGGAGACAGCGCCACGGTGCGCATCTGCCGCAAGGGCGGCGCCGACCCCACCTGTGGGGCCCTGCTGGCGCAGGCCAAGGCCAGTCCCTAGCAGCTCGCAGCACCCCTGCTACATGTTTGGGAGCAGCACGGCGATTGTACACAGAACTGAATCAACCAACTCCTGGTGGAGCCAGGATGCCCGCGGCACCCACTGAGTAGCGATGCACGCTGTGGCAACCACAACCAATAAATGAGCACCAGGCAATTGATTTTCCCTTTCGTTGCCCAACTTACTCTGGCAGTGGCCTGCCCAACCTGTTTTTTTTCATTTTGTTTCCCACACATTCATTCCAAGTCGCAACGCATTTTTTTGCTGGACCCCATTGAACATGGGCTGCAAGCCCCGCACTTGTCCGGTTTCGTCCGCAAACCCACCTGTGTCATCCATGGAGTATGTCCGTGGCATCCATTCAACCCACTTCCAAAACAGCAGCTCGTTGCTGCCCTACCACGCGCTTCACCTCATGCTCTGCGTCAACGTTCACTCCGCATCTGCCAATATTGTGTTCTGCTTTTTGCTTTCAATCCTTCATCCAAACTTCCACAAATTTTCTTTTCTGTGCCAACTTTCTTCGCTCATTATTTCACCATTGACAACACAATTAAATTGCAGCAAACAAGTGCCGAGAAAGAGTGGTGGTCATCTTGAATCAGAGCAGCGTCGGCAGAATGCTGAGGACTGAGCCAGAACAGCCCAGCTACCGTACAGAGGGGGCTCGCCTGGGCCGGGGCCTTGTAGCCGCAGCCGCGGCCGCCTGGGGTGCTTCCTCCCTGCCGCTACCTGCGCTGCGCTCGCCGTGCAGCCAGCGCAGGATGGCTGGCACCACGCTGCCGCTCCACCAGGGCGCCGCCGCCGCCGCCAGCAGCACCAGCAGCGCAGCGGTGGCCAGCAGCGGCAGCGCCGAGTGCGGCACGCCCAGTGTGCTTTGCTCCAGGACTGCGGGGAGGGGGAAGTATGGGCGAATCTGTCGGCAGCAGGCATCAGGTGGTGGCGGGGGTGGCGCCTGCTGTACCCAGCAAGGGCGAGGCGGTGAGGTCCCAGCAAGAACACAATTGATGCGCCGCTCCCCACCCCGATCACCTATGTCGTACAGCAGCAGCTGCGGGGCCTGGCCTGGCTGCCGCCACCTGCCCCACGCCTCCGCCTTGAACAGCACCGCCGCCGCCGACAACTGCGGCAGCGGGGCAGCGGGGCAGGCCGTGGGCAGGGCAGGCCGTGGGCAGGGCCCAGGGCGGCGACGCTGAGTGCGCGGCAATGAGCGGCAGTGCCTCACCGCTTTGCGCTGCTCGGGCAGCCACACCCGGCCCTCGGCATCGGTGCCAAACATGACCTTCTCTGCATCCAGTAGCTTACGGCTGTGCACGTGGCTGCGGTGGGTCAGGCCGCCGCCGCTGCCACTGCCGTCGGCGGCGGCAGCGCTATCCAGCCACAGCCTGACTCGCACGGCGGCCTGCAGGCGGACCAGCGCAGGCGGGAAGGCAGAGGACAGGAGAGAGCAGTTGGAGAGAAGAGCGGATGGGGTGACAAGAGCGGCGGCAGAGGGCAGGACCTGGGCGGGGGGGCGCACCGTGCCAGGGAAGGATACCCGCACTTCGTAGCCCTTGCCCCGCTGTAGCCCTGCGAGGTGGTACCTGCAGCCAGCTGATTGCGCAGGGTTACTGAAGGGGCCCCCGAGGCGGGCAGGCACGCCGCCACTGTGGCGGCAGCGGGCGGCGGGTGCACCTGGCTGGCGGCCCGCCAATCCTCGTGCTGTCGGCCCGGTGCGGCACGCCTGCCTCCAGCACGCGCGCTCCATCCTGCGCATCGGGCTCCGCAAAGCCGCTGGAGGCGGCCGCAAGAAGCAGCACCAGCAGCGCAGCTAGCCGGCCCACAGACGCTGGCATCGCGGAATGGGATAGATAGATATTGTTTGGCACCGTGGGCGACGAAGTTTGGCGGAGCCGCATGGCGCAGCAGGCAAGTCATGTGGCGGGACAGCGGGTAGCGACGGGGAGGGCGTGTCGGTGCAACGGCATGGCCCGGCTGCAGCACCAGTCACTGACAGCTGCCAGCCGCTCAGCAGAGGCTGTGAAGCGCGCTGTGCAGCCACAGCCTGCCACCTGGCCACCGCCCTCCCTGCCCCCTGCTGGACAGACTCCGCCTTTGGCAGGTGAGGGGCAGATGCCAGCCTCTGCTCCCTGCAGCCAAATGGGCGCTTGGACAGCACCGCCCCCCTGCCACCCGATGCACGCAAGCGAGGCATGATGGCCCGCCATGCCAATGCCAAAGCCACGGCTCATTGCCGGCATTTGCCGATTGAATCAATCCAACCACATTGCACAGCTTGCAAAGATGACGGGTGTGGAGTCCTTGCGGAGTTTACAATTCACAGAGACATCAGGAAGAAAGAACGGAAGCAGCAAGGCCAGAAGAGGAGTGATCATGACCGCTGGCTGGCAGCCTCTCAGCCCTTGCAGCTGAAAAAGGCATCCAGCGGCCCCCTGCCACCGCGCCGCTGCTTGTGCTGCCTGCCGGCGCCGCCAGCTGGCGGCACGTCTCGCTTGCGGGCTGCCGCCGCTGCCTGCACCTCCTCCTGCTGCAGCTGCAGCGCAAGCTCCAGGCTCGCCCGCTCCTCTGGCGGCAGATCAGCAGCGGCAGGGCCTCTGGGAGCGCTGCTGCCAAGGCCAGCCAGCGCTCTCGACGGCATTCCACCAGCCGCACTGCTGCTGCCCCCATAAAAAAACAGCTCCTGAATTGCCAGCGCTTCGGCATTCCGGTATGTGGCCGGCTTGCTGGCAAGAGGCAGTCGCGCCTGCTTGGCCTGCGGCTGCGATGGCGGCAATTGGGCCTGGCTGCCTGTATGTGGAGGCAGGGGATGGTGCTCCTGCTGCCGCCTTTCCTGCTGAGCAGGCATCCATGAGTGCAAGGCCTGCCGTGCAGCAGGGCGTGCGGCTTCCGTGGCATCCAGTGCTGCTTGAGGAGGCGGCCTGCTGCCCACTGCTCCTGCCTCCTGCTCCCCAGCTTCCCCTGGCTCCTGCTTGCCCTGCTGAACAGCCACCGAGCCCGCCGGCGGTGCTGCAACGGCACCCTGCTGCTGCGCCAAGCCAACGTCGCAGCGCACTTCGCCTCCAGCCAGCCCAGCTGCCGCCAGCTTTGGGCTGTGCCGCCTGCCGCTGTCGCTGCGCCAGGCTGCCAGGTCCTGCAGGTCGGCCCACATGCTGGCATCGTCGCCCTCCTCATCGTGCTGCCCATCAAACCCAAACCCAAAACTTCCATGATGAGGCTGCTGCTGTAAGGCTTGCGGCGAGGCAGGCGGTGGCCCATGAGCCTGCTGCTGCTGCAGCAGCTGAGCGCTCTGCTCCCGCAGCTGCCTCTCAGCCCTCTTGGACAGCAGCGGGGCCTGCAGTGGTGCTGTGCTGTAGCTGCGCCGCTGCTGCGCGCTAGCCTCTGCAGCTGCCCTGCTGTAGGCCAGCATCGTCGCTGGCTGATTCTGAGGAGACGGGGCGGCCTGGGCGGCAGGCGGCTCCTGGCTGGCAGCCTCTGACACACCCGCGGTAGCTGCAGCCGCTGCAGCCGCTCCTGCAGCTGCCGTACGTCCTGCGGCAAACATTTCAGCGATGTTGCGGGTGCCGGCCGCCGCACCTGCGCCTGCTGGCCCCTCGCTGAAAGCTGTGGCCCCCAGGTTGATCAGGCTGAGGTCGAAAGGCTCCAGCAGGCTCCGCCGCAGCAGCCCCAAGGCTGCTGCCGCTATGGCTGCCACCTGTGGGGGGTGCAGACAGGCAGGGAGTTGGATTTGGGCGGCAGCGAGGTGGCGCCTGGTGACTGTGCCCAGGCATCCCTGTCTGCATGGATATCTTCTCGAATCCTGTGAGCGAGCGGTACAGCATGCATGCTGCCGACTCGCCTGCTGCTCCTCCCCGGCCCTGTTGGACAGGACTTGAGAGGGCATGGCACAGCTGGCGCTGCTCCGTTCCCAGCCCTTGCCCGCGTGCCGCCACTTCACCGTCAGCGTGGCAGGCCGCCGCCTGCTGTCCTGCAGCCAGGGGGGTGTGCAGGGAGGTGTGGGCCCTGTCAAGCGCTGCCTACATCCTCCCGGCACTACGCTGTTGCTGCTCAATGCACCGGCTGGGTGCGAGCTGCACAGCAGGCTGGCAGGCAGGCTTGCCTGCAGCTCCTCCTGCAGCCGCGCCAGTAGGTCAGGAGCCAGCACACTCACCACCTGCAGCCCACACACCAGCGCTTCTCAACGCAGCACAGCGCAGCCCCGGCATCGGGCATGGCACAGCCAGCATAGCAACACACCACTGCAGGGAAGGACATTCCACCCTGCGCCACCCCTGCAGGTACCTTCTCCACAGCCGCCAAGCCGCGGCAGGTCTTGAACGAGTCCTCTACTGTCACCGATTTGGGTGGCCCCCGCTCCTGCACCGGGCTGGGGTCCTGCAGGGGCATTGAAAGGGAAATGCGCGGCAGAAGCTCAGCGCTGGCGTTCCGCCAGCTGTAGGCCACTGCCGCAGAGCCAAACCAGGCAATCCACTAGGCAGTCATGTCTGCAGGTTTGTCGGTCCAAGCCAGCTGCGCTGCGGGCCGGCAGGGCCGCCCACCTTGCCGCGGCAGGCGGCATGCAGGAATGCGCCTGAGCGCTCGCCAAAGCGCTGCATCAGCTGGTGGCGGGTCAGCGCGCGGAGGTCGGCGGCGGTAGCTAGGCCTGCTGCCGTCAGGGCCTGCTCCATCTTGTAGCCTGGGAGCGGGGGTTGCGGGGTGGGGCATGAGGGTCGACGTGGAGGGTGGTGTGTGTGTGACGGGGGAGCAAAGAGGAAACAAATCGCTCAGAGATGAACAAAGGGGGCACAGCGAGAAGTGAACAGGCATCAGTATTAGTGTTGAGGGTTTGCATGCGTGCATGAATGTTGCGGCAGAAGGAAGGAAGGCCATGCAGCTGGCACCAATCAGCGGCTCGCTCGCTCACCCACGCCCGGCAGCGCCCGCACGGGCAGCGGCGCCACAAAGGCCGCGCCCTCGGGCGGCGGCAGCACGGTCTGGTCATCAGGCTTGTGCAGGCCGCTGACGGGAGGCGGCACGGGCGACGGGAGGAAAGCAAAGGGCAGCATTGAACGAGGCGCCAGCAGCAGCGCACCAGGCCTGCAATAGCGCATGCACGGGGAGGGCGACAGGCAGGCCGTGCCCTGGCGTGTGGGCCGGCCGCCTCGGCGCCCACCTGCAGAGTTTGGCCAGCGTTTTGTTGCACGCCACCCCCGCAGAGGTCCGGTAGCCCGCCTCGGAGCGCACAGCCGCCCGCGCCTCGGCGGCAATCACGGAGCCGATGCGCAGCAGCGCCTCCCAGCTGTTGCCGCCGCTGCCGCCCGCGCCTGCCGCGCCGCAGCTGGCGGCTGCGCCCCCTGCCGCCGGGGCCTGGCCTGCTGCCACGGCTCGGAGGTCCATGGGACGGTGCCTGCTGTCCTGCACCAGCTCCGTCCCACTCAAGTGCACGTGGCCCTGCCAGGCGGGCAGCTCACAGCCGCTACGCGCGAGCGCCGCCAGCCGCCGCTGGGCCTGCGGCAGCAGCAGGAAGCATTGCAAGGGGGTGCTGCCAGCCCTGGGAATCACTGGCAGACGAGCTCGTCCCTGCAGAGAAGCATCCCTCTTGTAGAATAGGCCAGCCAGGGCAACCAGCGCAGCAGCCCTCACCTCTGGTGTGGCATCTACAAATATCTCGTCCAGGCCCAGCTTCTCGGCGGTACCGTATCGCTTCAGGACCGCGAGTATCTGCTTGGAAGCTGCCCGGTACGGCGTCAGGTCCTCGCCGCTGCCAGGCGGGCCGGGGAGCAGGGCAAGCGAGAGAGTCACGCCACGAAGCCAGGCGGCGAAGCAGCGCAGCAGGTGCGGCAACCTTCCGATGCGCCTCCCAGCCAACGGCACACCTGACCAAAACGATGTGTGGGCAGCGCCTCTGTGCCTCTGCCACACCCATCAGCTTGGTGACCCCGTGGCTGCGTGCCGGGTAGTTGCAGGTGACGATCAGGTACTTTTGGGTGACGCCCAGCGGCCTGCCGCGCAGCGAGGGGTTCCGCACCTGCGGCGGCAGCAGCAGGGAGGCAGGAGCGGGCCAACGGTCAATTGCGCGAGGGCGGGCCAGCTTGCATCTTGCCATCCCTGGGCCATCTCACCTCCTCGGCTTGGGCATACATTGCGTCGACGTCAAAGTGAATGATCACCCGGCCGGTATCCGGCACCACTGCCTCCTCGTCCATCGTATGCGGCTGGCCAGCTGGGGCGGCCCTTGCCGCCTGGCCAGGCACTGCTTGCGACACCAAGCTGAGTGTGCGCTCAGCCAGCGACACCTCGCCGCCTGCCGCCGTCGGCACAACCCTGCGGCCGTCTGGGCCGGCCCCCGCTCACGGCTCCCTGCGTCTCTGCGGCCTTGTACACATAACACAGGAGCCTGACCGCGAAAAAGAGTGCCAATGGATTGGGCCGCACCGGATCGCAGCGCTGGGCGAAGGGCAGCCTCTCTATAGACTGCTGGGACACGTCAAGGGAATGCCATCAACTGCTGAGATGTGAAATATTCTAATTTTGATGGTGTGGCGGCCGCTGCCAGGCGGGCGGGCGGGAGGAACCGATAAAATTGCGGGTTTCAGAAAACTCTGGCGCTTCTATGAGATGCAATGAACAACGTAGGAGCTATCTGCCTCACCAGCACTTGCTTTAGCATCGACAGGCCCCATTGACGGACTGCCGCTGAGAGCCAAGACGGCACAGCCGGCAAGCTGTCGTCCGGCGCCGCCTCTGTTGTGAGCATTTCAGTGCATCAATCATGCCTGCAGCCTGAGATCATGCTGCTGGCTGTTTGCACATGTCACCCGAAGGGGCCTTCCGCCATGCTGGAGGCGCCGGCGCCTGTCATGGCCGGCGCCTCCAGCGACCGGGGGCGATAAACGCGCCACGCTTAGCCGTATCACCCGCTGTGCGCTTGTTCCAGCAAGCCCGTGCGTCTCCAGGCCTGTCTGCCAGGCACAGATTAAGCCCTAGCCCTACCCTAGTCCCTCGGGCGGCGTGCGCACGCGATCCCAACGCTTTAGACAGCCTCTGCAGGACGCCATGGACCAGTTTTCAGTGGCAGCAAGATACACGAGCTCGGACAGCGGCAGCCATCATAAGGGCCTGCACGCCAGGCTCTGCGTTGTTGGAGGCAAGCCTGTTGCCGCATGTGCAGACTCGCGCTTGAGCAAGACGCCTGGCGCCTGGGCCGCTCACTCGTTGCCGCCGCCGCTGGTGCCGCCGCCCGTGCCGCCGCCGCCCGTGCTGTGCAGACGCCAGCCTGACCGTTGGCTCGGGCATCGTGCAAGAGCTGCTGAAGGAGGGCGCCGTTGTGGTGGCTCCTCTGAAGACACAGGAGGATGTGGAGCGGCTGCTGAGCGACTGCGAGGGTGAGGGCAGTGGCTGATGGCGGCGCTTACGTGATGCGCCGACTCTTTGCCTACATGCTGGCCCAGCCACCGCAGTGAAGAGCCGCTGCATCGTGACGCACACTGTACACCCGCCGCAGGGCTGAAGACGGAGCGGCTGTTTCCTTCGGTGATTGATATTGCCACTGAGGAGGGGTGTGCCAAGTTTGTGGAGGATCTTGTGGCAGAGCACGGCGCCCCCGACCACGCCGTCAGCATCTTTGGCCACTTCTGGCAAGCCGGTGAGTGGCAGCTGGGCTAAAAGCTTTGTTTGGGGCATGAAGGACGCGTGAGTAGGCTGCACGCCCCAGTGCCCCTCGGCGTGTGTTTGCCTGCTGCTCGTCCTTGCTGCTCCCTCTTCAAGCTCCAGCCGTGCCGCCTGCTGGCACCAGCTCAGTGCAGAGCCCCCACCCTTGCCGCGGTGCAGGCTTGCTGTCCGAGCAGCCGCTGGCTGAGTTCAACAAAGTTGTGGCGGAGACCGCGGCGGCGCACTTTGTCTTTGTCAAGCACATGGCCCCTGTGCTGAAGCAGAGCGCCAGCAGCAGCATTCTGTTTGTGTCAAACGGCGCAGGTGTGCAGGGCGTGCCGTGCCGCGGAATGAAGCCGTGGCTGGCCCTTGGGCGGCCTGGCTGCGCCGCTGCCTCTGTCCCTGCTCTGCATTCCATTGCTGGTGATGCTGGCTGGGCGCGCCACACTCGCTGTCCGTAACGACTGCTTGCACTGCCCCTGTGCAGGCAAGATGGTAATCAGCAATGAGACCAGCCTGTATACCGTCGCGTCTGCTGCCATCTATGGCGTGATCCTGGCGGTGCAAGCGGAGTATGAGGAGCAGCCCTTCCGAGTCACCGAGATGCGCCTGTATGCCATGTTCAAGCGGGCCTCTGGTCAGTGGGCCAATTTGTTTCTTTCATGCCTGGGAAGGCTGTGCCACGCATGCCCACTGCCCACCGCTCGCCTGCTGCCGCGACGCTGACCCGCTCTGCGTTTGCCTGTGCTGCACTGCCTCTGCCTCTGTTGTTCCAGAGATCGGCAGCAACAACTTCAAGGATTTCTATGGCCACAAGGCGTACAGCAACCGCAAGGCGGGCAAGATGGCGGTTGAGCTGATGATGGCATCAAAGGTGAGAGAGCTGCAGCCAACACGCGGACCAGCCAACCTGCCACCTGCCTTCTGCATCAGCCTTGCAGCTGTTCCTCAACGTGTCGGCGCAATGCTCCCTCTGCTGGTGCAGAAGAACGAGCGCCTTGTTGTGTCGGTGGAGCGGCTGGATGGCGAGGCGCTGACCGTTTGAGGCGGCCCAGCTCTAGGCATGATTGGGTGCCTTGCCAAGCCTGATGCCAGCAGGAAAGCATCAAGCTCACAGCCGCGGCAATGTTGCCGCAGCGACAAGACTGAACACACACTCGCTAACCTGCGCATTCCCGACTGCATGCCTCAATGCGCAACTCCCTTCAGTGTTTGATTGAGCACCTATATTGGGCACACCACATCATTCAGAAGTTGATCTGGCCCTAATGCCTGGGCCACAACATCTTTGATCTGGCCCTAATGCCTGAGCCACAACATCGCGTTCCCCCCTTCCTGCCATTCCTTCCCTCTTCAGCCTGAGCACGCCGGCTGTATTGCCCAGGGCTTACTTCTTCTGGGGTTTCTCTATGTCTTTCCTGGCACAGAACTTGCCTTTTGAGTATTGCCGCTGGAGCCTCGGCCCGTTGCGCGCTCTGCTCTGTCCCTTTCTTCTTGCTTCATGCTTATGCACCCGCAACTTGCCGCAAGCGAGCGACTTACACACACAGCGACAGCGAGTGTAACCAACCAAGGATCAAAAGGGCAGCAGCAGAAGGCCTAGCAGGCGCAGCACGCAGGGCGGCAGCGGTGGCCGCTGCTGGGCGGCTCAGGAGTTGAACCAATCCAGGAAGATGAGGCCCAGGGAGGCTATCAGGAAGAAAGCGATCATGTACTTCCTGGCCGCGCGGTTGGTGCGTATTGCCTTGCCCAGCTGCACGTTGGCGCGGTCGATGTGGCGGGTGGCTTGTACCGCCTCGCTGTACAGCTTCTCTATCTGCTCCCCCTGCTGCATGATGGCCGTGCTGAACATCTGGTTGAGTGTGGCAATCTCGCGCACGCTGCGCTCCGCATGCTGCACCTGCAGGCCGGCCGCGGCAGGAGAAGCGGGTGGCATGGGGCGGGCCAGGCAGGCGGGCAGGACGGCAGGGGAGGGGACGCAGATGCAGAGGGGAGGGAGCAGGAGCAGCAGGGGCCATGCATGCTGCCAGGGAGGTGCCCCCAGCAGGGCGCAGCACCAAGCCCGACCGGCGGCAGCCACAGGCGCAGCAGCGGGCTGCTTGCCTGATTGTGCATGCCCATCAGCTCTAACTGCAGCGCCTGGTTCTCTAGCTGTATCTGCTGCTGCTGCTGGCCGCCCCCGCCGCTGCCACCGGGCTCCCCGCCTTGCTGCTGCTGCTGCTGCCACTCCGCCACTTTGCTGGCTGCCTGCTGCAGCCGCGCGTGCACCTCGCCGGTGGTGGGCCCGCCGGCGGCGCCGGCGGCGCCGTGCTGCGGCAGGCGGCGCAGCCGCGCCGCCTCGGCCGCCTGCAGCTGCTGGTAGCGCAGGCTGCGCAGGCGGTCGAAGAGCGCCGCCGCGGAGCGCAGGCGCTCGCTAAGGATGAGCACCTGGCCCTGCCGGTGCGCCACCATGTCGGCATTGGGAGGCTGGCGGGCGGGCGAGCCGCCTGGAGGCGCCGCCGCCAGCATCTGCTGCAGCTTGTCGATGTTGGCGGAGCAGGAGCGCACGTACGCGCCCACCTCCTCCTCAACCCGGTCCCGCTCAGCCTCCCCCAGCTTCCCCAGCTGCGCGTAATCGCGCTGGTGCTCCCGCAGGTACTGCCGCAGCGCATCCACATTGTGCGCCTGCGCCGGGCAGGCGGCAGACGGTGGCGGCGGCGGCGGGGAGTGGTTCACGAGGAGGGACGTGGCGAACAGCAGGGCGGCAGCACATGCTGTGGCAGGGATGCGCGAATGTGCGTCTACAGAAGTCCATTCGTAGGCTCCAAGATCAAGCACACCACTGCCATAGCGACGGCAGCACAGCAGGCGCCTGCGTCCGCCCGCGGCCACCGCCGCAGCTGAGCCAAACCCCAGAGCGCCTCACCACTTCAATCGCGGCCTTGGTGAACGCCGTTTTGGCAGCCAGGGAGCGCAGTATCTGGCGCTGCCGCAGTCGAGTGAGCTGGTCCTACAGCATCGGAGCGGCGATCGCTCAGCCCAGGGGGGCAGACCAGTCGCAGCAGGAAGCAGGGCATGTGATCGTGCCGGCAAGCTCACCGGCGGCAGCCCTGCCGCCCGGGCGGCGCCCAGCACCGCCTCCTGGAATTCCGGCGTGCAGTCCATTGCATGGCAGATGCCGCGGCTGATGGTCAATGGGGCTGCGTGTCTGTAGCGTGCCACGGATATTGGAGCGCCACGTGGGGTTTGGCGAGAATTTCTGCTCTCTTTGGCAATTGCGGCACCTGGGAGTTCGCAGTAAGCACGTCAGGGCATCCCAAATATCAATTGAATCCCTGGCACCGTCCCTGCAAGTGGTTGTCGGCTGTCGCAGGCTGCCGCCCTCCCACCGCTACTGGCTTCGCCGCTGCTGGCTTGCCTGTGCCTGCTGGGCAAACTGCCTATGATCGAGAGTGCAAGGTGCCAGGATGCTCATTTCTTTTCATTTCGATGGTTAATCCACTGCGCTCGTGCTGCGGCGGAACAGCTGGGCAGCGGCAGCGGGAGGAAAGCCCCATCATGTCGGCGCGTGTCCAAGCTTCCCCGCTCCCGACACGCAGTCGTAGGCTGAAATAAAAAACAGAACACGAAGAGGAGCACGGCACTGGGTTCCAATACTGCGGAGCACAATCCAGTGTGGGATTGTGGCACACAACGCCTCCCCCCGTTCGGAGTGTGTTCCGGACATATTTGTGAGCGGCGATGTTCATGTGGAGCCCGCCCCGTACAGCACCCATGCCAGCAGCGCCTGCCACACCGCCTCACCGCCTCCCACTGAGCCCCGTCCCTGCAGCGTCCCTGGATGCCATCGCCAGCAGTCACCCTGTCGGCAGCCCAGGCAGCTGATCTAGTTAATGGAGTCGCTACGGCGTCTAGCAAAGCTGCAGCCCTGCACGCGGTAGCGGCGGCAGGCATCGGAATCGATTCAGCTGACGGCTCATGCTTCACTGCTTTGCACCACGCAGCATCCAGGGGCGATGTAGCCTGCATCAATGCCCTGGTGGCCGCTGGAGCTGCCGTCAATGCTGCCAACAGCTTGGGGCAGACTCCACTACTGCTGGCAGCAGGGCAGGGGCATGGAGAATGCATGGCAACCCTGGTAGCTGCAGGCGCCAACATTGCGGCAACGGCCCAGGACGGCAGCACAGCTTTGCACGCAGCAGCCAGCTATGGTCATGCAGGCTGCGTGGCGGCTTTGCTAGCAGTGCAAGCCAGCTAAGATGTTACTGAGCACCACGGCGCCACTGCGCTTCACAGGGCAGCTGCTGGCGGGCATACGCTGTGCGTGGAACAGCTTCTGGCAGCTGGGGCGGAGCTCACCCTGGATGGCTAAGGCAGGAGTGCCCTGCACCTGGCAGCCGCAGGCGGGCATGCAGAGTGCGCTTTGGCCCTGCTATCAGGAGGTGCCAGCCCTGACGATCGAGCACACAATTCTACAGGCTGGACAGCACTGCACCACAGCGCATGCTTGGGCGACACGGCTTGCACCACCGCTCTGCTGGGGGCAGGCGCCGGCGTCAACATAGCAACCAGCAAGGGGGAGACGGCTTTGCACCTGGCGTCCCAGGCAGGCAATGCTGCGGGAGTTGCAGCTTTGCTGGGCGCAGGAGCGGATGTAGCCATTGCAGACGCGCAGCGCTTGACAGCCCTCCACGTGGCGGCGCAAAACGGCCATGCAGCATGTGTGGCTGCCCTGGCAGCAGCACCTGGCGCCGACCTGGAGGCAGAGAGCCGCGGCCAGCATACCGCGCTGCAGCTGGCAGCAATGCGTGGATATGCAGACTGTGTGGCGGTCCTGCTGCAGGCGGGCGCCAGTGCAGCGGGCAGGCGGGGCACCGGAGCCCTGCACGCTGCCGCCAGCACCGGCAACGCGGCATGCCTTGCGGGCTTGGCAACAGACGGCGCAGACTTGGAGGCATTGGACGTGGAGAAGCACGCGGCCCTACAGGTGGCAGCCATGTATGGGCGAGCGGAATGCGTGGCCATTCTGCTGTTGGCTGGAGCCAACCTGAATGCTACGGGCGGCACCAGCAGCGGATTGATGCCGCTGCACTATGCGGCTTACAACGGAGATGCAGCATGCGTGGCAGCCCTGCTGGCAAATGGTGCCAACGTGCAGTCCGTGGACAGATACGGGCGCATACCCCTCACGTGGGCACAGCAGGCCGGCCATGCCGCAGCTGCCGACCTGCTCCAGCGTGCGGCAGCCAGCGGCGGCCATGCACTGGACCAGCCTGGCGTTGAAGCCCTCTTTGCACAAGCAGTGGCGCTTATGACTGCAAAAGTCGGCAAGCTGGGCTTGGCAGCAGATGCAGCGGCAGGTGCGGGCCCAGTTTGGATCACGCTAGAGCATGCATGGATTTCAGCTGCAACTTACAGCTGCTTTAATGTTCTGCAGTCAGCAACAACTGCCCCAGCCCGAGCGCCCCTCCGCTGGTATCCGATGGGGAGGGCGTTGCTGCCCCAGCCGCCGATGGAACTGGAGTGGCGGCCAGCATCCGCACCAGGGTGGAGTGCCGAGTGTGCTTCCAAGAGGGAGCAGAGCTTCTGGCGCTCATCCCGTGTGGGCACCGAGCCGCCTGCATCGAGTGCACGGGCCTGCTGTTGGCTCAGCAGCACTCTCGAAAGTGTCCCATATGCCGAGCGCAGGTGAGCAACAGGCAGCACCCAGGTATTCCACACAAAATCAGGGGCCTGTATCTGGTGCATTCACCACCGTTTAGCTGCGCTCCCGCAGGTCATTAGCAGCCTGAAAATTTTTGATGCCTGACTGCAACGCACGTCGAGAGAAACCGGCGGGGTGCCTAGCCAACTTCGGCCGTTATTCTATCAACATTGTGCTCGCGTACTATTGTCCTTGCACAGTTCCTTGAAGATAGCAAGAAGTCAGGCTGTAGCAAGCCATTCATGGCCACGGCGCCCTTTGCGGCGAGGCGCTGGCGGCGGGGCGGCAGAAGAAAGTGCCTCGGCATGATCACTGGCGCTGGCGCGCAGGACCCCTGTTGATCCCTCAATTCTCTTCACCGGACCACACCACGCCTCTGTCGTGGATGGCCGACGCTCCAAGGGGCAGTGAACTGTTCCTCACTCCGACACAGCGCCCTCTCTGGGGCAGTCAACTGAGGCCTCTGGTCACGATCGCGCAGCCCCTGTGCGCAGAATCGAGCGCATGTGAAGCCAAAGGTGAGCGGTGCGGGCACCTGCTCGACTTCACAGTCAGCCACCCTCCTACTCTCCCTCGTACACGCAGCTGGCGTGTTGCCGCCCAGCCGGGTGCACCAATTATGACTTGGGGACATCGATCGAGAGGGCGCGGCACCTGGCCGAGCAGCGGAGCACGCTCCTCCGCGCCCGCACACACATGTGAGAACCCTGGCCCCTCCCACCGCCTTCCCACTGCCCTTGCAGGCTGAGAGGGGTAGCCCGCTCACGCCCCGGTACCCTCCTCGCCGCAGCGGTGCCTGCACTACAAACCCTCTGCCCCCCGCCGCCGCCCGTGCTGGCGGCGCCAGCGGAGCCTCTCCCACGCAGCCCAGCCGCCCTGCCGGCCACAGCAGCATGAAGCCTGGCGACAGCGGCCGCCCTGCGGCCTGCTGGGCGGCCCTGGAGGACTGCGGCGACTGTTTCGAGCAGGTGCTGGCTGCCCTGCAGCCCGCCGACGTGGCCGCCCTCCGCCTCGTGTCTCGTGGCTGGCGCCAGCATGTGGACCTGCTGCTGCACCAGCTGCAGCCCGCGGCCGGGGCGCAGCCCGCGGCGGTGGCGGCCACGTGGCGCCACCTGGCGAGGCTGCAGCTGGCCGCCAGCGCGCGCTCCGGGCTGCCGCCGCTCGACGCGCTGCCGGGGCTGCGCTGCCTGCGCAGCCTGGCGCTGCACGGGCCGCCCAGCGGCCTGGGAGAGCTCAACTGCCGCAGCCTTGCCCCGCTGGAAGCCATGCCTGGGCTGGAGGGGCTGGAGCTCAGCGGCCAGCTGCTGCGCCATGCCACCACGCTGCAGCAGCTGGCGCAGCTGTCCCGCCTTGCCCTGCACGGCTGCACGCTGGCCGGCTGGCACGGCAGCCTGCCCGCGCTGCTGCTGCCGCTGGCCCGCCTCGCCCACCTGCGCTTCTACGCGCCGCGCGGCGGCGGCGGCGGCGGCGGCGGGCCCACCCTGGCCGGCCTCAGCCGCCTGACCGGCCTGACCAGCCTGGAGCTGAGCTGCGAGGACGGCGCCAGCGACGGCACGTGCCGCGAGGCATCCGCCCTGCCGCGCCTGGCCAGCCTGGCCATCGAGCGCTGCGCCAGCCTGGGCAACGCCGCGCCCAGCGTTGGGGACGCGGGCCTGGAGGCCCTGGCTGCCGGCCTCGCGCCGCGCCTCACCAGCCTCGCGCTGACGGGGTGCCGCGGGGTGAGCGACCGCGGGGTGGCGGCGCTGGCGGGCTTGGCCCAGCTGCGGCGCCTGGAGCTGCGGTTAGGAGACCCCGCACCGCACGGGTGAGGCGCCTGGCAGGGAGACCTCCGCCTCTTGCCTGTGGCCTCTTGCCTTCCGCCGCCCTGCAGACCTTCTGCCGCCAGGCTGGGGCCTCGCGCGTGCATGCGTCGCCGCCTTGGGAGGGTGCTGCTCTGTCCAGCCGTTGGCTGGGTGGAGTGCAGGCCAGTCAGGGTGTGGGGATCCCCGGCTGAGCCTCCCCTCGCCGCCTTAGCTGCCTCTCCCTGCTCCCCATGCGGCGTGCATGTGCAGGCTGGCTGGGCGGGTGGGCGACGAGGGCCTGCGCTGCCTGGCGGATCTCACCCTCCTCCAGTCCCTGCACCTGGGCGGCGCCTGCGTGGTGGGCGAGCACGCCTGCTCCGCGCTCGGCGGCCGCCTCCGCGCCCTCACCAGCCTGCAGTTCAGCGATTGCCGCAGCCTGGGGGACGCGGCGCTGTACCGGCTGGCGCCGCTGGCGCCGGGCCTGCGCCGCCTGGGCCTCAACAACTGCGAGGGGGTGACCGACATCGCTCTGGCGGTGCTGCTCAAGGGCGCCAGCAGGCAAGCGCTGCGCCGCGCCGTGCCGTGCTGCGCTGCGCAGCGGTCCAGTTCGCGTGGCCCCAGGCTGCCAGGGTGCATGGCGGGCGGCAGGGGCACCCGGCGCAGGCTGGGGGCATGCCCTGTGTTTGCCCACATGCTTTGCGGCAGTTTTTTGCCGGCCTGCGGGTTCCCCGGCGTGTGTTGCGACGGCACTACGTGGTGACCCATCCCTGCGCCCCGCCTCCCGCAGGCTGAGCCACCTGGAGCTGGCCGGCTGCCACCGCAACATCACCGGCATCGGCCTGCAAGTGGGCAGCCTGCGCCGCCTGCGCCACCTCAACCTCGCCGGCTGCGACGCCATCACCGGTGCGCACCCACCCTGGCTGGCCATGGCTGGCCCTTGCATGCGCTGCCGCTGCTGCTGTTGTCCGTGTGTCAAGCACGCTTGCGCCCGCAGCCGCCTGCGTGCTTCGCAAGCTGGTGCCTGCTGCGCCAGCGGGGGATTGGTTTCTGCTCTCTCTCTGCACGCTGCACACCCACGGCGCGCGTTGCCCCATGCCCTGCCCCGCTTGCAGATGTCGAGATCGAGGCGTTGCTGCCGGCGGCGCAGTGCCTGGAGCACCTCAATCTGCGCGACTGCCGCGTGTCCGACCGCGCCTGCGCCCTGCTGGCCGCCTACGCGCCAAGCCTGCAGTGGCTGAGGTGGGGCGCGCCGCTGGCCTCCGCCCGGGCGCTCGCCTCCCCTGTCTCCCTCTGGGAGCCCCTGCTGCCGCCTGCCCGATCATTTGCATGGTTGTTTCGATCAATTGCATGGTTGTTTGTTTGTGCCTGCCACCGGGCCAGCCGCTCTGGCCTGCCCGCCCTGCCCTGGCTGGTGTGCTGCCTGATGCTCAGCACCCCGCCTCGCCCACCGCCCTGCCCCTGCAGCCTGGAGCACTGCCCGCGCGTCAGCAAGCAGGGCCTGGCGTGCCTGGCCGCGGGCCTGCCCCTGCTGCGCGAGCTGCACCTGGTGGGCACCGCCGTTCCCTCCGAGGCAGCCGCCCAGCTGCGGGCCACGCCCCGCGGCCGCCGCCTGCGCATCTCCACCTTCAAGCACTGCTGGTGGGTGCCCCCGGCGCCGCTGGACGGCGAAGGCGGCCAGCCAGTCGCCGGCGCCGGCCCCCAGTAGCCTGCAGCCCCCCGAAGCGAGCAAAACTTAGCGCAGGCCAGCAAGCCGGCTGCCAGATGCGGGAGCCGCCATGGGCTGTGCCGAGTAGCCCTGCACGCCACCAACCACACCCTCTGCTTCCAACGCAATCATTGGCGCCTGCCTCACTTTTGCACTCAATAAGCCAGTCAGCCACGTGCCATTCCTCGTCTGTGCGTTCTGAGGCTCCTCTTGGCGCAGCCTCAAGCCACAAGCCGCGCCACAGCGGGCCCGTGACAATGCGTCCTTTAGCCCAGTACCACCCATGTACCTCCCTCTCTCCCTTGCATTCTGCCGTGTACCCTCTGCATGCCTGCTGTGCGTCTGCTGCGGCAAGGCTCAATGCCCCGGGCTCGGCAGGCGCCATTGCGTCCGCCGGCCGCCTGTACAGATTCAAATCCAACCCTGCACTGCGCAAACTGTGTCTCCCATCTTTGATTGCTCCCTAGCGTCGTCTGTGTGCTCTCTTTTTTTGTTTCGAACGCCAGCTGTAACAGCTGGTGGCACGCCCAAACATAATTGAAATTAGGCCGTGCAGCAGGAGTGGACCGGGTCCGTAGATGCATCAGCCCTGCCGCTACTGGCTGCTTGCTGCTGCCCACCCCACAACAGCTGCCTGCTGCTCAGCCCATGGCATCCATGTCTTGCAGCACCTGCTGCAGCACCTCCTCCCCCAGAGGCACGTGCAGCAGCTCGGAGCCGTCCGAGGCGCGCCTGCAGGCCGCACACGGACAAGGCAGCGGACGCGGGTGGGGCAGAGGGCGGCGCGTGCGTCGCTGCGCTGCACGCCTTGAACCCTGCGGGCTGCCAGCGGGCCCCCCGTCCCCACACCTGACCACAGCAGGCCTCAGCGGCTGCCAGCCACAGCAGCAGGCAGCCAGCCCCTGCAGCATGCCGCAAGGCGCGAGCCAGCACGAGCCGCGGCCGCCCCGCCTCTGGCCCCGCCCTGCTCACTTGGTCTGCAGCAGCTCGTGGTCCCGGAATTCAGTGAGGAAGGCCTTGAGCAGCATCTCGTTAGACACCAGGAACCGCTCCCGGCACTGCTGGAACAGGCGCTGGAAGGTGACGCCTGTTGGGGTAGGGGATGGGAAGGGGTGGGGTGGGCGGGTGGGGCGTGCTGTATAGTGTGGTGTAAGTTGGTGGGCCATGGCCGTTGGGTGTGTGGTGGCAAGCGACAGGGTGGTGGCGACCATGCGGCCGTGGGTATGTCTGATGTGGGCAGGGCTGGGCTGCAAAAGCATGTGCGTGTGTGCGCGTGTGCGTGCCTGGCGCCTGCCTGCTGCTGCTGCTCACCCTGCTCGCCGGAGGGATCCAGCTGGGCGTCGGCCACGAGGCGGAACACCTCCCGCGCGCTGTGCGACAGGCTGGCCAGCACCACCGTCGCGCTCTGCTTGCTGCACTGCTCGCTGCGGCCCACCAGCAGGGAGGGGATGGCTGCGGCGGGGGCGGGCGGGCGGGAGGCAGGCAGGCAGGTGAGCGGCCAGGCGTGCAGGCACGGCTGCAATTGGAGCTGGCACTGCCAGCCGCGCATCGGCAGACCAACAGCAACTCTCGCCACCACAGCCGCCACAGCCGGCCGGCACCAGCTGGCGCATACCCCGGCCTGGGCCTCGCAACACCATCACTCCCGCCCTCGCTCCACCCCCTCTGCCCTCACCTGCATAGCCGACCTCCCGGTGGTACGGCTCGTAGTTGGTGGCGTTGTGCCACACCCAGGAGAAGCGGTCCCGCGTCTGCGCGCCGCAGTGGGGAGGCAGGACCGCAGGGGGCCGTCTGCCTTGCCCCTCCACAACACACACCACATGCGCGCGCGTGCGCACACACACACACACACGCGCACACACACCGCAACTGACGCGCACACACACAACACCGACGCACACCAAGCTACACTCACACAACACGCCTGACACACACACACACACACAACACACCTGCTGGTCCCAGAGCAGCGCAGCATTGACGTGGTCCACGCTGGCCGCCAGGTGCACGTTTGGCAGCGCCGCCAGCTCAGACAGCACCCGCTGCGCGCTGTGGTCGCGCAGGCCTGACACGTCAGCGGGGGTGGTGGGGCAGGGCGTGGGTAGGTGTGTGTGAGTGGTGACGGGGTATGTGGGGAAGAGGTTGCACGAGGTGCGGACGCTGCTCCCCAGCAGCCCAAGCCCAGCAGGCTGCTGCTGTCAACGACCAGCCTGCTGCAGCGGCGTCCAGCGCATGCTGCTCGGCGCCTGGCGCGCCCGCCCACCGCATGCTCCGCGCGCCTTCCCGCACTTTCCCCTCCTTCTTGCCCCGCCTGCGGCCCCGCCACGCCCCACCTCTATCACATACTCATCCACGCACCCCCTGCCTCCCGCATGACGCACCCCGGTGCACACACACACACACTCTCTCCCCAAGCCACCCACCGGGGCCGTCGATGTTGTGGAGCACCAGGTAGAGCCGCCGCTGGTCCCTGCCCACCAGCTCCAGCATGTCATCCTTGGAGCAGCCGCGGTAGTGAGCGGCCTTGGTGCCCTTGAGCGCCGCCGTGGCCTGCTGCAGGATCTGCGCGCAGGCGGGGCGGCGGCGGGGCGGGCGGTGGAGGGCGGGGAGGAGCGGGGCGGGGCGGGCCTGCATCGCCGCTGGCTGCCCGCTGCGGCGGCGGCGCTGCTGCGCTGCTGCCTGCTGCGCCGTACCGCCACATACCCAGCTCTGCCGGTCCCAGCAGGCCCAGCAGGCTTTCAACCGGGTCCAGCACGTGCGAGCAGGCGGCACCAGCCCGGCCCGCACCTGCTTGGCGGTGAGGCCCGGGTGCAGGCCGTTTACTGCCAGGCAGGCGCCGTCCCCGGTCTGCTGGCGGGCGAAGCGGGACAGCAGGTCGTGCTTGGAGCCGAAGCCGTAGAGCAGCAGGGAGTTGCCGGCGCGCAGCTGGGCCCACCAGCGGCCAAACTGCGCATGCTGGCGGCGGCGCAGGGCCGCCTTGGATTCGGGGTGCCGCTCCGGCAGCGAGGCCAGCAGGTCGCGCAAGCCGCCCTCCTCGCCCGCCGCAGCACCCACGTCCAGCTGCAGGTCGGCCAGCGTGCGGCTGCTGCCCGCCGCCTGCTGGTGGGAGAAGAAGGAGCTGACGAGGCCGCCGGCGCCGACGGCGGGGCCCGCGGCGGCGCCCGTGGGGCGGCGCACCCGCTTGAGCCCGCCCTGCTCCTGCAGGCAGGCAGCGGCCGGCGGAGCTGTGTGTGGTCAGGGGGAGTGGGCCTGACTGTCTGCAGAGGCAGCAAGTGAAAGTGAAAGTGATCACGCTGCCCACCTCGTCCTCTGAGCAGCTGCTGCCGGGCTCCTCCTGCACCACCGGCAGCTTCCGCTTCTTGCTGCCCCGCTTGCCCATGCCGCCTGCTGCTATCCAGAACCGTGCGGTGGCTGTCTGGAGCTGTGCAAGGCTGGGGGTCGATAGAACAACTTGATCGACTCTGCAGCCTGCCAAGATCGATTGAGTACAAGAGGCAGCCCTAAAGGCTCCCTTGAATCTTGATGTCCAGCGTGGCGAAGATGGAATCCCCCATCGAGTGCTGGGCTGACCTCCCTGGTCTCGAGCATTGCAGCGTCCGCAGCATTCGTCCTGCGAGCCGACGAGCGCCTCCGAGAGCGTCGGCCGGCCATCGCTTCTGGCAGCTTGCAGGCCCGAGCCCCGGCTTGGTGGATTGATACTGCACGGCTTCAGCACCCCATCCCGCGCCCACGATGCAGGCGGCAGCAGTCATGCAGCCCGTGTGGGCCAGCCTCCCGCAGCGCGCCAGCCTTCCCCGTAGCAGCAGCAGCAGCAGGGCGGTGCTGTCGGTGCGCTGCAGCAGCGCAGCGGCGGGCGCCGGCCGCCCGCCGCTGCCCACCGCCCCGCTCCTGCGCCTGACGGCGGCAGCGGCGGGCCTGGTGCAGCGCGGTGCAGCGGCGGCCCGCGCGGCGGCCGCCGAGGCGGCGCGCCAGACGGCGGAGCAGGACATCAACGCCCAGATCCGCGCGAGCATGAAGCAGATGCGCATGCTGGCGCTGGTGGCGCCCTTTACCGCCGCCTCGGGCAGCACCGACACCTTTATGATCATCACCCGCGCCGTCGCCTCTTTCATCAAGCTCTACCTCCTCCTGCTCTTCGTCCGCGTGCTGCTGTCCTGGTTCCCCACCTTCCAGTGGTGGGAGCAGCAGCCCTTCTCCGCGCTGCGCCAGGTGGGCGGCTCTGCAGCCTTGCAGGCAGCAGCTGCGCACCCGCCGCGTGCTTCGCACCTGACTACCATCTCCACCCACCCACACACACACACACTCCCCGCTCTCCTCTCCCCTGCCGCAGGTCACCGACCCCTACCTGAAGCTGTTCAGCGGGCTGGTGCCGCCGCTGCTGGGCTCAATCGACCTCACCCCGCTCTTCGGCTTCTTCATTTTGCAATTCCTGGCTGGAGCTCTGGATGTGGCGGATGACGAGACCCGCTACTGGTGAACCGGGTCCGCCGTGCAGGGTTCAAAGAGCGAGAAAAGACAGGGCTGCATCTATCTCTCTCCTTCGATACAACCCCTTCCCCCGCTTCACCCGCCCCATGCTTCTCATGCTCCCCACAGCTTTTCGTTGTTTTGCCGCTGCCCCCTCATGTTGCCGCGTGAATGTCAGCGACATGACATTGCCGCCCTACCAGACCAGATACGCACACAGCAAGGGAAAGGCGCCAAAAAGATGAGAGGCTCAGGGAGCCACTGTGCAGGGCAGGCGAGCTGGCAGCGGTGCACAGCTGTACAATGATGAAAAATCACTAATGCACATGAAGTAGGACACTACGTTTGAGCTGCTGCTGACAGAAGATGCGCATGACACATGGGAGGCACGGCCCTGCTCAGCGGCGCCTGCCAGACGCAGGCTGGCGCTCGAGCTGGGATGGTCGGCTCAGGTGCCGGCTGCTGGCAGTGCCACGCCAGCCGCGTGCAGAGCGGTACGCACAAGGGCCGCTGCTGCACTGTACTGCTGTCGGTGCAGGAGGCGGCACAGGCACTCCTCCTGCAAGCAATTGCACAAGGGGACTCACATCATGCATCAATGGCACAGCGGGTGAAACCAAGGCATCCAAGGCAAATGCCAGATTGGGCTGGAGGCAGCAGACGCACCTGTTCAGGTGGTAGCGAGGGCAGGCCGATGAAGGATGCTGCCAGCTCTGGGGTCAGCCCGGCCGCAGCCGCCGCAGCATGCTCTGTTGCATCAAGCAGCAGGGAATACAGGTTCTGCTGCTGCTGCTGGGGCTGGGGCAGGGTTGGCGGATGCTGGGCCTGCTGCTGCTGCTGCTGTGGCGGCGGCTGGTTCGAGAGCTGCTGGAGTGCGGTGGGAGGCTGCTGATGCAGATGCAAAGGCCGCTGGAGTGGCCCGATTGCCTGCTGCAAGTCTGTGCTGCAAGCTTGTTCTTGCTGAAACCAGACTGTAAGCCCACACAAGCTGGTGTAGGGAGAGGGTCTGCTGATAGGGCTGGTGCTGGTGATGGCGTGGGCTGGGGGTCTGCTGCACCTGTGCCTGCACTAGCTGCTGCGGCGCCAACTGCTGCACCAGCTGTGGGGCGTTCTCGGGCTGGTGCTGTGACTGCTTGCGCTGAAAGTGCTGCGGGGATGAAGTTGGTGCGCCAGCTGGAGTGGTGGCAGGGGTAGGCGGTGAGGCAGGAGGCTGCAGATCTGGTTTGTCCGGCGTTGCTGCCTCCCACTGATGCCGCTGCCGCTTGGCGGCTGGCTGCAAGGCGCCCTCATCATCCTCCCCCTCCTCCTCCCAGTCATTCACCCCATCGCCCTCGTCCGGATAGCAGGGCCGCTTCTCCGTAATGCGCTGCCCTGCAGCAGCAGCCGGGCCCCCAACAGGGGTGATGGCGCCCTCCGCTGCTGCAGCACCGCCCACTGGCAACTGCCGGTTGGATGCCACGGCCTGCTGGCCGCCTGCTCCTGCTCTCCCTCCTCGCTGTCGCTGCTGCTCCCAGAGGGGTCGCCACATGCTGCCCGCTGCCGCCGCTGGCGCCTGACCGTCTCGTAGGCCTTGTTGCAGCAGGGCTGGCACAGCCACTCCTCGCCTGTGGCCGGGTGACGAAACCAACGCGGTCGAGCATGGGAGCTGGGGCCGGGCCTGGCCGAGCCGCACTGCAGGCATCGCCGCTCTGCGGGCGGCAGCGCTTGCCGGTTCCGCTCCCGGCGCTCCAACGCGCGCCTGGCTGGCAGCTGCGACGCATGGTTGTGTACATACTGCCAGCATGCATGGCACAGCGGAGCGCGGGTGGTGGGGTGCCAGCGCCACCGCTTGCCACCAGTGGTGGTGCTGCTGCAGTGCGAGCACTGACGCTGCTGCTGCTGCGGGTCTCCCTCTGTGCCCTCCTCCTGCTGGCTGTCCCCTGCTCCTGCTCCTTGCTGCTGCTCGGCCTGGCGCTGCTCATGCAGCCCCAGCCAGCTTCCTGCTGCCATCAAAGCACTGCCGCCGGCAGTGGCAGCCATGGAAGGGCTGCCAGGGCTGGGCTGCGCTGCGGCAGCAGTGGCAGCAGGGACCGCTGAGCCTGGTGACGTGGCGGCACCAGATGCCCCAGGCTGGGAATGCCTGTGCGCCTGCAGGCGCGGGTCCCTGCTGCTGCGCTGAGCCAGCGGCAGAGGCTGCTGCTGCCACTGCTGCTGTGCCGCTGGCTGGGGATTGGCCGAGGACTGGCCAGCTGCGGCTCCTGGGCTTGGGCCTGGCAGGGCTGCCGGTGCTTCATCCTCGCCCGCCGTGGCCGCTGCCTCTCCCGGAGTGGCGCCAGCATGGCCGCTCCACATCTGCTTCCTCCCGCACCCAACAACGGCTCTCACACACTGCGCAGGGAGGCAAGCAGCCCTGGCGACTACAGAAGTCCCCGCAGCTCGGAGCCTTGGCAAATCCCTCTGGCCCCTGCGTGACTGCCCTGGTCCACACAAGGTTGTGGCAGCACACCCAGAAGCAGGCCTCCAAGAGCAGCCCTGGCAGATCCGAACCCACCTCGCTGTTGCCTGCTATCGAGCCACAGAAACACCAATCAGGCAACCGACACAGCAAGGGCGCTGCCAAGCAGGCTCTGGGAGGCCCTATGGTGGGGGCCCAGCTGGCGGCAGTACAGCTGTACATAATTGGAGGCATCACCTGATTCAGCTGCCAGCAGAAAAAGCGAGCTATGCCTTGATGTTGGCTGGTTCTGCGACAGATAGATCTCATTGTGCACATGTGGCAGGGCTGGCAAGTCCAGCAAGAAGTTGCAGCAGGGTGGGGAAGTGCAACAGGGCAACACAGGGCAACAGCAAGCGGTGAATGAGGCTAGGGGCCCGTGACAGCCTCTGACGCGCCCTCAGCACACTCCCTCACAAACTTCGCATGCGAAGGCAAAGCGGGTCAGGTCAGCTCCGTGGCCGTTGCCGCCAGCACCGCACCGGCAGTTGAAGCCTGCTGCCTGTGCCTGCTGCATACGGGGCAGGCCAAGCATCCGGGGGTGGTAACTACCCAGCTCCTCACCCTCGAACTGTGAACTGTTACAGCCATTTCTGCTCCAGCGCTCAAGCTGCTGCTGTGGCTTACAATGATTGACGCACCCAGCACTGCCTGCGTATCCGAAGTGGCAGAGGCGGTGGGCATAATGAAGAAGAAGTCATTTTGGAAAGAAATTCTGGGTTGGAAGAGCGGGAAAACAAGGGTGGAGTGAGGCTGGAGAAAGAGAAAACCATCGAACGGCCATCCACGCTTACTGCAGGTTTATTTCGCCTGAGCGGCTCCAGCTGGAGTCGTCAGTGTAGGCGGCAGCGCACATCAGCGCCGCGTCGGAATCTGCCGGGCCTCTTGGATGGTGCCGCGCCAGCCGGTCACATTTGCAAACACTACTTGGGGGGCTGTGGCCAGAGGGTCCACCGTCTCGTCAGCCTTGAACCTGGGGTAGACAATCAGCAGCACATCCCTGCAGCGGCAGGCGGCAGGGGCGGCAAGGGAGGCACACACACGTGGGATGCGGTCCCAGCGGCGGGTCGCCTGCCCCACACGCCCGCCAGCCAGCCAGCAGGCCGCAGCGCGAGCTGCGATAAACTCACTGCCGGGTGGCGGGCTTGAGGATGGTGCCTTTGCACTTGGAGAAGTAGCAGCGGGTGAGCGGGTAGGCCTTTGGGAACACCTTGGTCCAGTAGTCGCACACCTCGGTGCCGGGCGGGCACACAGTGAGGGCGACATCCCTCGGTGCCACCATCACCATCACCGGCTGCTCGGCCCGCACCACCCAGGTCGCCTTGGTGAGCCCTGCAGCGAGGGCAGGAGCGCATGGACTCGACCGGGCGGGGCGCATGCGGCAGCGGAATGCCGGCAGCCAGACAGGGGAGCAGCTGCGCCCGGCCAGCAGGCAGGCCAGCACGGCAGGTGGACAGCGAGGCGCTCGCACCCTCCAGCTCGAACCCCGTCTCGCGATACGTCTTGGGGTTGTCGCCGGGATATAGCAAGTAGCCCGGCTGCGCCATAGGGAAGGTGCCGCCGCTCCTGACCAGGCGATTGCCTCGTGTGTTGCTCGCGCCCGGCCCTTTGCATGGGTGCTCTGCACCGGTGGGAGGTCGGCAGGCCGGCGCTTTCAAAGTGCTGCGCCGGGTGGTGGGCAGCACACCCTCCCGCCCTGGCACGCTTGGCGCCGCGCCTGGCTCGCGCGTGCAACAGCCCAGCACGATGCGGCGCTGCGCTGCCGCGCGGCCGCCCCACCTCTCCACCCCAACAGAGAACAGCCAGCCAGCCGCACTCTCGGTGCACAGCTGTCGGCCACCTCACCTGTCAGCCGCACGCTGTAGCGGAAGGGCGGGTTTGCTGCGACGCAGCGCCGCTCCTTGTTGTTGAGGCACTGCTCGTTGCCTGGCGTGTCCAGCTGCCGGATGATGCCCTTGTCCTGCGCACACAGCAGGCCAGCGCCGGCAGCAGCGCCCATTGAGTGCAGTTGTTGCGCAAGGCCAGGCACGGGTGCCCGGCACGGGTGCCCGGCACGGCAGGCTGGCGCGCTGCAAGCAGCAGCAGCAACAGGATTGGCACGAGGGGCCGCGAAGGGGGCAGGCCCCACCTCTGTCCATATGTCCCGCATCGACACCGTCCACTGCAGCATGAAGCTGTGGTGCAGGGTGAAGTTGCAGCGCGTCGCGGGCGGCTTGACGATGCAGCTGGCGTCGGGCTGCCAGCCCCCGGGCAGCCACGCGCCGTCGCGCCGCCCCAGTTCATCCACCTCGCCGTTGCTCATGGCTGAGAAGTACGCCATGCTGTACTGCGGGGAAGCCACGCGGTACTCGTGCGTTATGGCGCACACCCGGGCATCCACCCGGTCGCTGAACATGTTTGGGTTGTTGATGCCTGCAGCAGGGAGCGGGGCGGGGAGGCAAGGGAGGTGCCATTCGTCCTCGAGCATGATGAAGGAGGGCAGACAGTGGGTCCTAAGACGGCCTACGCCGTGCGTCCCCACGCTCCCCTTGGACGGCCTGCCACTACCTAGCGTGAAGTTGAACTCCCGCGTCCGCTCCCCCGCCGAGTTCCTGCCGTTCCAGGTGCAGCTCTCCAAGTCTGCAGGCGAGCAGCACGCCGTGCAGGAGGTAAAATGTTTTGGAGCCAGCAGCGCCGCCGGCCAAGCATGCATGCCTTGAGCCGTGTGCATGCCTGCCCCTGGGCCGCGCCTCCCCACCCTCGCACCTGAGCCGTCGTACCAAGAGTCGGCGATGGTGGATAGGCAGGCGGCGCGGCTGGTCTGCCGCTTGCAGCGCCGGCAGAACCGCTGCTGCTGTGGCAGCAGCCGGTCGTTGCACGACAGCGGCAGGGTGTTGTTCACTAGGTAGAAGTCCGTCTTGGGCACAAACGGCGTGTACACGAGCTTGGTCCATCTGCATTGCGGCGTCAGCAGCTTGCTCAATTGTTGCCGCCACTGGTCGGGACGGCGGCGACCCGAGCGGCGCCGCAGGGGGGGCCGCGGTGCGGGAGTACGCCTCTGCGGGTTGCAAACCACCGCCTTACGGGGACTTTGCAAGCACAACGCTGCGGGAAGCGGCGCCGCTCAGGCTCTCAGCATGTAAGGCCGGAGGTGAAGGGGGGGCCCACCCTGCGGCCGGCGGCCAGGCATCACTTGCGTTCACTCACACGCAGTCGTCCGCGTCCTTCTCGAGGTCTGCCAGCTGCTGGGCCCCGACCTGAGCTATCAACGCTGCGGCTGCAACTATGGCGAGCGCTACTCGTTTCGTCCTTCGCGTCATGGTGTTTACCGAGTTTCGGGAGCTGGGGGTGGCCTGTGATGTGATCTGTGGGATGTGGCGAGCCAGGCAGAAACTGCCACCTGGCACCCAGCAGTCACACAACAGTACGTCTCCAAGCAGCCTCCGGCTGCTCTCTGATTGCCCTCTGCATAATCATGAGGTGGGGAATGAATGGACAGCTCGCTCACTCGTTGCGGGCGCACATGGGGCTTTACCAATTCACAGCAGCTCCTCAAGCCAGAGTAGCCAAACATAATGTGGCTGTCAATGTAGGGCATGACTGTGCAGTTCACCTCCCCTCCAGCAGCAGCATGCTGTTACCGACGTTCCCAATCACTAGGCAAGGAAGCAGCAGCTTCTGGCACCAGCCAGCGCCTCTGTGCAACGCGGCGCATGTCTGCCGCAACCGTGTCGGACGCCGCATGCGCCAACTGCGCCTTGCCGCCGCGCCGTTACAGCCGCGCCTGCCTGGCCCCAGCCAGCTCCAGCTTGGCAATCGTCTCCAGGTGCACCACGTCGGGACCGTCCGCCAGGCGCAGCGTGCGAGCCCCCGCAAACATGTGTGCCAGCGGTGTCACGTCGCTCACGCCCGCCGCGCCGTGCACCTGCGGCACCGGCACACCCAGGAAATCGATCGATTGATGGCAGCCTGGCAGGCAGGGCGACGGGAACGGCACCCCAGGGCGCAAATAACAGAGCTGCGAGCGTCACCAGCGCCTGTAGTCTGCCGGATACCGCGGCTCCCTGGCTCCTCTGTTCAGCCACCCCCGCTCCCAGCTGCGCCGCACCTGGATGGCTCTGTCGATGATGGCCACCACGGTGGACGGCGCCAGCGCCTTGGCCGCCGCAATCTGGCCGCGCGCGGCCTTGTTGCCGACGCGGTCTAAAGAATGCGCCGCCTGCAGCACCACCAGCCTGCCGCACGGCAGGCAGCGGCACGCGGAAGAAGAGGCCTCAAAACCCAGGGCAGTCGAACATGCGATGCGCGGCGCTGCGAGCTAGAAGCGCGGGGGCTGCGACACGGCGCCAAGGCACCCCAACCCCAAACCTGGCCCTTGTGCCAGCTGGCGCTCACCTGGCCGCATCCAGCTCGATCCTGCTCCGCGCAATGTCCAGGCGCACCGACTGGTGGCGCCACAGCTTCTGCCTGAAAGCAGTCCTTTCTTCGGAGCGCTGCACCATAAGCTCCAGCGCCCGCTCCCCCATGCCCACCAGGCGCATGCAGTGGTGCAGGCGGCCGGGGCCCAGCCGCCCCTGCGCTATCTCGAAGCCACGCCCCTCGCCTGCACATGCGCGCGCATGCCAGCAAACCTGATCAACCCGTCTCTTGGTTGCGTAAGACTGTCGAGCAGCAGCCCACAGCGGCAGCCCAGCTCACCCAGAATCATGTTGGCTGCCGGCACCTGCACGCCGTCAAACACAATCTCCGAGTGGCCGTGCGGCGCATCGTCAAACCCAAACACCGGCAGCGGCCTGCACGGGGCGGGCAGCGGCGCGAGCCGCAGCGGGAGCAGCAGCAGTTCAGCTGGGGTGCAGCCCAGCACATGAGGCCCTGGCAGACGTGCCTTGTGGCCCAGGCAAACCAGAACCTTTTGGAGGAAGAGGCCACAAAATCCCAACCAGAGGCCACAAATTTCCTTTCAAAACGCCGCTGACCTGACAATGGTGACACCAGGCGAATCCATAGGCACCAGCACCATCGATTGCTGCTGGTGCGTGGGCGCCTGCAGGCAAGCAGGCAGGCAGGCAGGCAGGCAGGCAGGCAGGCAGGCAGCATGCGGCTCTGATGCCCAGAGCAAGCGCCAGCAACTGAGCACATGCAGGGACACAGTCTACCCGCCCCGCCTTGCCACAGCCGCACAGCACTTCACACCGCACACCACACACCAGCTCACCTGGGGGTCTGTTTTCCCCATGAAAATGGCCACCTTGCAGCGAGGGTCGCTGGCCCCAGATGCCCACCACTTCCTGCGGCTCGGGGTCCAGTAGAACACAAGGAAGCAGGGTGCACAGCGGCTTGAGGCCAGCAAAAACACGGCTCGAGGCCCGCAGCCGGCAACCGGCAGCACAACAACACGCCGGCGGGCCTGCCCCACCTGCCGCTCAGCACATAGCTGTCTCCCTGGCGGCTGATGCTGGAGGTGATGTTGGTGGCATCTGAAGAGGCCACCGCAGGCTCAGTCATGGCGAAGCAGCTGCGCATGTCGCCCCGCAGCAGCGGCAGCAGCCAGGCACGCTGCTGCTCGCGCGAGCCGTAGCGAGCCAGCACCTGCGGGGGAGGCGCAGCAGGCAGGGAGGCAGGGAGGCGTGGGCGCATGCCGTGCCGGCAGCTGCTAACCACACGGTTGGTATACGTGTGGATGTGCGAGCAGGTGGCCCCACCCGATCAACCAGCGAGTGCCATCAGCCCAGCCCTTGCCCCTCCTGTCCCCCTTACGCACCTCCATGTTGCCGGTGTCGGGCGCAGAGCAGTTGAAGCACTCTGGCGCCCACACGCTGCGGCCCATCACCTCCGCACAGTGCGCATACTCTGCAGCAGGCGTGGGGCGGCGCGGGGCGGGGCGGGGTGTGTGCAGGTCAAGCGGCAGCTCAGCCAAACCGCCGGTGTTTGTGTGCCCTTGCAACGTTGAGTGGGCGCTGCGCCTGCTCCCCTCTGCATGTGCGTCCTCCCTTCGCACCCAAATTGGTCAGCCCAGGGCCCAGCAGCAGGCGCTGCTCGTCGCCAGAGGCCGCCGCCTGCCGCACCAGCGGTTCCAGCGCTGCCGCCATGTCTGCACCAGGGTACGGTCGGGCAGGCAGCGCAGCAGCGGCGGCAGGGGTCTGGGCGACCGGCTGTACTGCACCACGTACCGCAGCAGGTCCTGCTGCCCACCAGCGGGCACGCATGCATGCATGCCAAAGCCCGGCACCAACTCCAATGCCCGATAGCGCCCAGGTGGCTTTCTTTGTATAAACAGATTTGCGCACCTGCGGGCAGCCACAGGTTCCACAGACCCTGCCGCTTGGCCTCTGCCTTGAGCCGCTCTTGCACCGGGTGGATGATCCAGCGCTGGTCGGACATGGCATGGCCATTCAGCGCAGCCTCTGCAGGGTAGACATGGTCCCGCATGAACCGCTGCAGCCTGCGCAGCAGCGGCTGCACGCGCGGCGACGGGCCCAGCCCGGTGGTCGCCACCCCGGCGGCGGCGGCGGCGGTGGCCGCGGGGCTGCCGGCGGCGGTTGGCTGCTGGCGCACGCCTCTGCTGCTGCTGCTGCTGCTGCTGCTGCTGCTGCCGCGGCTGCTGGTGGGCGCCACCCGGGCGGGCAGTACCCTGTCAGCTTCCTCCAGCGCCGCCGCCGCCGCGCCTGCTGCCTGGCGCCACTGCGGGCTGGGGTTGGCGTACTCCTCCAGAGGGTTGCCAGCCAGGATGTTGGGGCTGTCGTCTGGCAGCGCGCTGGGATGGGTGGGGTTGGCGTAGGGCTCAGCGGGGGTGCCCATCAGGTGGCTGCCGCCGCTGCTGGTGAGGCTGCTGCTGGAGCTGCCTTGCTTGTGCAGAACCCCCGCAATCTGCAGCCCCTTGCAGGCCAGGCTGCGAACCACAGAATCAGCCCCGACCTGCAGGCAGCGGAAGGGAGTAGGCCGGTAAGCAGGGGCCGCAGCACAAGAACCTCTGGTGGCCCAAGCAGCAGCGGCAGCAGCAGCCTGCCACAACGACGGGATGGTGGCGAGCGGGAAGAGCGTGCAGCTGCTGCGGCTGCGGCGGCGGCACGAGAGCGGCGGGCGGCACCTGGGCTGCGATGCGGGAGGATGCGTTGCCCTGCGCCGCCCGGGCGCCCACCCCAGCCAGGATGGCGGCCAGGCGGAAGATGGAGAGGGCGAGGTAGAAGGGCCATGAGGCCTGCAGGGGGGCGCAGGAGACCGACGGTATGTGCGGTGAAGTGCAGTCGCAGAGGGGAACAGGGTCAGGCCGGGAAGGGCAGCCAGGCAGCAGCCAGGCATGTGCAGGCTGCTTGCCTGGAGGGGGTAGGGCAGGCTGCGGGCAGCGCAGTACTGCTGAATGTACTGCTGCTCCTCTGGGATGCCAGCTGGCAGCGGCCGCGGCAGGCTGACCAGGGTGGGGATGTCCTGAGGCAGCGGAATCAGCAGCAAGCGCGGTGTGAGCAGGCCTGCGATGGCCGGCATCGCCCATGCCGGCAGGCAGGCATGCGGCCGGCACAGAGCAGCCGCCGGCTGCCCATGGTCGCCGCCTCGCCAGCCGCGGTGTGCGCTACAGCATGTGGGCGAGCGTGTGGCTGGCAGGGACCCACCGCCGGCAGGTGGTAGGGCAGGCAGTTGTAGGCGAGGTCGGCCAGCGGGTCCCCCAGGGTGGAAAGCTCCCAATCCAGGACCGCCAGCACGCGGGACGGGTCGGCAGAATCAAACACCAGGTTGTCCAGCCTGGCACGGCAGGAGGCGGGGTGGGCGGGCAGCACACGTGGAGGCGGCGGGGTTGGAACGGGTTGGGACCTGGCCTGGGTGGAAAGAAGTGAAGTACTCCCAAGAAGTACACCCCAGCCACACCCAACCCAACCATGCACATCCCAAAGCGCCTCCACCTGAAGTCGCCGTGCGAGACGCGGGTGCCGGCGGGCTGGTCGTCTGTGGGCGGGACGTTGGCCTCCAGCCAGGAGTGGAGCTGCTGCATCTCAGGCATCGGCGCCTGGCCCTGCACAGCAACAACGCGTGAAGGGAGGGGGCGGCAGAATGCATACAGTAGTGCTGTGGTCAAGGCCATGGTTGCCAAGGCAGGCAGGCGCAGCAGCAAGGGAGCAGCCAAGAGCACACAGCTGCCTGCCCGTCAGCCCAGCCACGGCGAAGGGCGCCCTGCTCACCTGCGCCACGCTCTGCGAGTACTGCTGCCCCCAGCGCCACACCTGGCGCCGGTTGTAGCCGCTGGGCTTGCCGTAGCCCTGAAGGCCCACCTGCCCCGGCTGCACGCTGTGCAGGGCGGCCAGCGTGCGTGCCATGGCCTGCATACGCGTGTGTTGCAGGGGGGGATGCGTGGGTGGGTTCCTGGCAGTGGAGGAGCTCATGCGCAAGCAAGCAGCAGTGCCAGCCAGACAGAAAACAAGCAAGCAAACAGGCAAGCAGGTCGGCTTGCCTGGTACACGGCGGTGCGCTGGGCGGGGGCCATGCCTGGCAGCGAGGGCTCTGTGAAGATGCGGCCCCTCACATGCTCCATGACGTAAAAGGGGGTGCCCAGCACGCTGGCATCCTCGCACAGGCACAGCTGTGGGTGGAGGGGCGGCAGAGTTGACTGGGAGCTGGGTGGCTGGCTGGCCCCGGCAGGTGGCTCCTTCCGGCAGCAAGGGGAGTGTGTACAAAGAGGGCGAACAGGACAGCTGCACCGGAAAGCCACAATGCAGAGGCTGGTGGGGCTGAGGTGTGCTGCACGGCCAGACACTGCAGCGGCGGGCTCCTCTGCTCACCACGCGTGGCACCGGCACCGGCGTGGCCTGCAGCGCTGCTAGCACCCGGAACTCTCGCTCCACGGCGTGCGCCGACGGCAGCACCCGGCCGGGCGGCTTCTTGCGAAGCACGTAGCTGGCGCTGCCGGCCTGCGGGAGCGGTAGAGCAGCGGCAGAGGTGCATGGTCAATCGGCGCGTCCAACAGGAGGTGCACAGAGCCAGGACGACCTGTCACAGAAAAGCAGGAGGTGCAGAGAGCAAGGGCGGCCCGAGGAAGGAGAGCAGGGGCGCATGCAGGTCCAGATGCATGTCGCCCCAGCTGGGCAGCCGAACACACCTTGACCAGATACGTTGGGTTGGACTGGCCATGCGAGAACTGAAACACTTCCAGGCGGTCAGCATCTGGGGGGAAGTCGCTGACAGTGGCAGCCAGGTAGCGCCGCAGCGCCGCCTGCACACATTCGGAGGAGAGGCGGTGGCAGGGGCGGCGGTGGCGGTGCAGCCTCAACCCACAGCCAATTGGCAGCGCCCCCGCGTCTCGTGATCTGCTGGCACTCCTAACTCACCTCGTCAATGCGCAGGGCGGGGGCCTGCGGCACCAGGCCGCTGGCTGTGTCGAGCACCTCCTGCACCATGCCTCGGCAGCCCGAAGGGCGCTGTGCGAGATTGAATCTTGCTAGTGAGGTTGAACACCAAGGTTTGGTGCAGAATGAGGCGTGCGGGCGCCAGTCGGGCCAGCTGGATGGCGCCCTGCTGTGCTGCGCTCCCATCAAGCTTGTGCTCGTAATCTCAATACGCTATTGCCTGTGCAGCTGCCATCGCATCTAGTGGGCAGCTCCGCACCCCGCCAAGCCACAAGTGCGCACTTGCAACTCGCCAACTTGGGCTTGCAGCGGGGTTTTCCTTAGCTCGGGTAGGCGCTTCGAATACAGGCATGCGTGTAGGAGCTCGCTGCCAAAGTTGTGGCGAGCGCCTTGCCCCCCCCCCTCGTCGCCCACCACCTGATGGTGCCGGCGGCAGCAGGCCGCAGAGGCGTGCCTGTGGTGAGCATTGCAACCACGACCCTGTACACCGCTGCAGAGCACCATGGACGACGAGTCCATACCGCTGTCCCAGCTGGCCAATGAGGCCTTTAATCCCGTGGCGCCGCACGGCCTGACCCAAGACGCTCCCCTGGCCGCCGCGCCGCCAGGCGCCATCCTCCCAACCGATTTTGCCGCTCTGGGTGCTGAGCTGAGGGTTAACGGCTGCGGCGCCGGGCCCGGACCCGGCAGCGAGGCGGCCGCGGCAGCAGCAGCAGCAGCAGCGGGCCCGCGGCGGCTCAACAAGAACGGCAAGCTGTTCCAGGGTGGTGCCTGGACGGCCCTGCCCCGTGCGTCGTGGCCCCCCCCC